AAACCAAAGACCCAGATGGACCTATGGACATCTTTGACAAAGAAGCCAAAATCAGTAAATAGAAAAAGAAAGCACCTTCAACAAATGATGCTGACAGAACCGGATGTCGGCAAGTAGAAGAATGCAAATAGATCTATATCTATCACCATGCACAAAACTAAAGTCCTAGTGAATCAAAGACCTAAGCATAAACCCAGATACACTGAACCAGATAGAAGAGAAATAATCTCAAATGCACTGGCACAGGAGACAATTTCTTGAAAACAGAACACCAAGAGCATAGGCACTCAGATCAACAATTAATAAATGGAACCTCATTAAAGTGAAAAGTTTCTGTAAGACAAAGAATACCATCAATAGCACAAAATGGCAAACTACAGATTGAAAAGAGATCTTCTCAACCAACCTCACATCCGAAAGAGGACTGATTTCCACAATATATAAAGAATTGAAGAAACTAGATATCACAAAACCAAATAATCTAATTAAAAAAAGGAGTACAAATCTAAACAAAGAATTCTCAGCAAAGAATCTCAAATGGCTGAGAAATACTGCAGACGTTCAACATCCTGAGCCATCAGGGAAAAATGCAAATCAAAATGACTCTGAGATTCCAACTTACGTTTGTCACAATGATTAAGATCAAAAACACAAATGACAGTCAGCATAGCAGTTTCTCAGAAAACTAGGAATCAACCTACCACAAGACCAAGCTATACCACTTCTGGGCATACACCCACCCAAAAGATGCTCAATCACACCACAAGGATATTTGTTAGCTATATTCACAGTAGCTTTACTTGTAATAGCCAGAACTTAGAAACAACCTAGATGTCTGTCCCTCAACCAAGGAATGGATAATATGGTACATTTACACAATTAAGTATTACTCAGATGTTAGAAACAAGGATACCAGGAAATCTGAAGATAAATTGATGGAACTGGAGAAAAACCATTCTGAATGAGGTAACCCAGACTGAGACATACAAACATTGTATATGGATGTTTCCTTCATAACTGGATATTATTTGTAAAATAAAGGATAACTATGCTACAATCCACAGACCCAGGGAGACTAGGTAACAAGTAGGGTTCAGGAGAGGGTACTCCTTGATCAGGAAGGGAAAATAGATGAGCTTTGGTGAGGGAATTGAGGGAGGGTGGGGATGAAAATATGAGCAATGAGGTTGGGGATATGTTGGAGGGGGAGAATACTGAGAGAGACTACTGGAAGGGGGATGCATTTTGGGGTCACGTAAAAACCTGGTACAAGTGAGTCTCTTAGGAATCTACAAGGATGACCCCAACTCGGACTCCTAGCAACAGTGAATATGAGCCTGAACTGGCCATCTCCTGTGTCCAGATTGGTGCCTGGCTCATTTGTCATCAGAGAGGCTTCATCCAGCAACTGATGGAAACAGATGCAGACCCATATCCAAACATTAGGCATAGTTTGGGGAATCCTGCTGAAGAAAGGGAGAAAGGATATGAGCCAGAAGTGTCAAGGACATCACAAGGAAACACAAAAAATCAACTAACCTGGGCTCATAGGGGCTCACAGGGACTGAACTGACAACCAGGGAGCCTGTATGTGACCGAGCTCGGCACTCTGCATAGATGTTGCGGTTGTCTAGCTTAGTCCTCTTGTTGGACATCTAACAGTGGAAACAGGGACTGTCTCCAACTCTTTTACTGACTTTTGGGACCCTACTCCTTATAATGGGTCACCTTGCCCATGCTTAATACATGGGAAGGTGCTTAGTCTTACTGCATGCAAATTAGTATGTCATGTTTTGTTGATACTCATGGGAGACCTGCCATGAAGAGATGGGAACAAAGGGGGGGTGTAGAGGGAGGGTCTGGGAGAAGACGAGGGAACTACAGCAGTGATGTAAAATATATTAAGAAATAAATTTATTAAAATAAAAAAAAGAAAATAAGGAAGAGTGTAAGAGCCAGAGGAGATAGGAGGAGATAGAAGACTCCAAGGAAGCAAGGCCCTTTAAATCAACATCAGCAAAGCTCAGATGCACTCAGAGACTTAATCAGTATACATAGGGCCTGCATAGGTCTGCACCAGGTCATATTCACACACACACACACACACACACACACACACACACACACACACACGACTTCTATAAAACTTCCACTCACATTTTTATGGGATTCCTGAGTTTGTAACTAGTGGGTCCCTGATTCTTGTACCTTCTCTTGAGGTCTTTCCTTCTGTAGGTTTGTCTTGTCCAAATTCCACAGGTTTTGACAGGTTTTGTTTTACCTTATATTTTATCTTGTTATATTTTATTACTATCTCATAGAAACCTGTTCTTTTCAGAGAAAGAAAGCAAATCCAAATAGAATAGGAGACGAGGAAACTTGGAGGACTTAGGGAGAAGAAACAGTAAACAGGATATATTATGTGAGAAAAGAATCCATTTTCAACGAAAAATATAAGTATTTAAAGCAATCTCAGTAGAACAGAATAGCATCTAACATAACTTATTGTACTGTGTCATGCTTTTCTCCATAGAACATAGAACTTTTATCCAAGTATCTTTTAAAAAAAGTTGGAAATCTTTTGGTATTGGACTGTAATAAAAATGTCATCCTTGATGAAATTCTTGATTTTAATCTTCATTATTACATAGCTTAAGATGCTCAAAAAAATGTGAGCTTTCAGAAGAGCCTTATGTTCATCCAACTGTGTGTGAGGAGCTACATCCATAGGCCACCACATCTTCAAAGTAAAAATGTCACCTCTTTTAAAAAAAGAAAAGAAAAGATATCTACTTGGAAGTACATGACTTGAAACTTGAAAATGTGAACAAATAAACCAAGTTTGAATGAACATCAGGAAGAGTTGGCCCTCAGTGCCCTGACACATCAGTAACACTGCTTTTGACAGAGGCCAAGGTGGAATAATAATTCTTGGCCTGGGTGGAGATATAGGACTGACTGGTGCAGGTGTTCGCTAAAGCTCCTTTAAGAGATAAACTCCAGGATGCAGCGCCCATGACAAAGAGCCATTTACATGTGTCCTTCTTATCTCAAGGGAAAGGAGGAGATGAAATGGGCTTTTGAAATAGAACATGTCATGTAACAAATCCCCATTTATTAAATTAAAGGATATATAAGGCCTTAAGGTAACTTCTTTGTCACAGGAGTCCAAGACAATTCAAAGATATGATGCTATGGGTTAATAGTCCTCTGTCGTCTTGACGACCTCAGTCCATTTGTTTCATTTGTATGAATTCACAAGCTACAGTTCAATATTTCAAAATTCATGCATAATTTAAAAACCTAGTTCACTAGAGGCAAAAAAATGAAATTCTAACTTAAAATTATTCATGAATCTCCAGAAAAGAGCAGAGTACACAGCATTTGAAGATGATTTTGGAAATGTGAGAATTTTAAATTTCCTTTTTAAAGATTTAATTTCATTGTTTTTAATTATGTATCGGTACATGTGGCTGCATGTGAGTATATGTGTATGAGTGCAGGTACCCACACAGGGCAGGAGCATTGGGCTCCCTGAAGCTGGAATTACATATGGTGGTGAGTCACCTGATGTACTTGAAAATGAACTCAGGTTCTCTGGAAAGCCACAAGTGCTCTTACCCCCTGAGAGGTCTCCCCAGCCCCAATAACTTGATTTTTTTAAAACGTGGTACATCTTCAAACTTTTGCTTTTGATTCTAAAATTTAAAGCTATGTAACCTCAGAGAAATGTTAATAGTAACTTTATCAGTATGTCAGACTGTAGAAAGTGGGGAACATAGTCTAAACATTTTGTAACTAAACAGAGCTGTCCATGGAAGTGCAGGGTGATGTATCTGTGTAAAGTATTTACTCCACATATACTGGCAATTTCATTCATCAACCTTATAAAACATATAGGATAAAGGCATCTGTAGAATTTTTAGAATCTTATCAGGTCTAAACACACTGAGTAATGTCTACTCCTTGAAAACATAAGCAAGTATATTTGGTATGATGTTGATGCTTTCCTTATTAATTTCTACATTTTCACATAAATTTGAAATTTATTATTATTATCCACGTACTTTTATGCATGAGAAATTGATCTTTTTCAAAAGATACTTTTTCTTTATGATACCAAACTGCTAGATGGAGACATAATCACACACAAAAATATGATATGCCACCTTGTGGAGCATAGTTATCTCAAGTATCAAATTCTTACATTAAAAAAAAATGAGTCCAGTTACAAAGGAGATTGTGAATTATCTCCATCTTACCTTGGCTAACACATCCAAATGATTGGTCTATTAATTCAATTAGAACAAAAAAAATTATTGATCTTAAAAATACATAGTTTTTACTTTAACTCACTTAATATATGTTAAGAATATTTTACACTATATTCTATGCCAATTATTAATATCTCTGGGAAACATATGTAAATATTGTTTTCTGAATTGCAAAACACAAGAAAGAAATCCCCATTTTTAGTTAGAACGTTTTTAAATGCACACTGCCCCTTGGTACTCAGAATTGGACATGAAGTCTCATGCACAAAGGCCAATGTTCTCCTACTGATGTATTACTCCTCCCCCGGCCTTTTTTCACTCTTTATTTTAAGACAGGGTCATTCTAAGTTGCCCAGATTGGTCTTGAACTCCCCATGTAACCCAGTTTGGCCTTAAACTTGTGATCCCCTTGTTTTGGCCTCCACAAATAGCTGGGACTACAGACTTCTGCCAGTGGGCTCAGCTTTAAACATGTTTCAATGTTTAAATGACAATGTATCAATGACAATTTTCTTCCTGTGTCAATTTTTCTTTCAAAATTAAATGATTTCTTAAAATTCCTATCCATGTGAATTGCCTTTTCGTACCACTTATAAGGTGAAATGGAACAGATCTTTATGGTTGGCACAAAATTCCCATGAGTAATAAACATATTTTTCAGAAATCACGCACTGCATAACGTTTACTGATGGGAACTTCTAGGCATGGCACAAATAGCATACTTACTCGTCTATTTGACAAACGCTCATCTCCACCTCCTTCAGTGCAGCCTGGAGTTTGCCGAGCAGTTTCTGATAGATGTCTTGAGTTTCTAAGTCTTCTTCTTTCAATAAATATCGCAGTCCATGGCCATCTTTGTGTCCCAGAGACAGGCCCGAAGGGGCTGCCATGGTTGTGATTGTGTGTTGAATGTAGACCATGGGGCTCAGTTTCCCTGAGGAGTTCAAATCATTCCATCATTTAACGTCTACTTACGTAGCCCCCCAAATTTTAGAAGCCCAAGTTCATATATAACAAAATGTTAATCCAATGCTAAATTTAATTCAAAAATTAACTACAAATAGAATTAATTCACATGTCCTATTGCAATGATTGCCATCATCTTCATGTGTCCCTCTCCTGTACTTCCTTACTGTTCTCAAAGCAACCGTCATTTCAGATTATGAATTTTTCATGGCAAGATGAACTATACATATAATGAAAGTAAGGGAATTCCTCCTTCTTAAAGAGAAATACTGAAAGTCTTACCTGTCTTTATTCTATATATACTTAAATAAAATAATCTAAGCATAAACAAGGAATTCTTCCTTTATGAAAACAGAGACTTCCGTGAACACCGGGAATCTACCAGATTTTAAGAAGTACACATAGATAGTCCTACTCTTGAATTGATAAAGTTTCAAAAGCTAACATACCAGGCTCTGAAGATTTATTGTCTCTATCATGAGAATTATGCTTCCTACTATCCAGCTGAACCCCGAAGGCACTCCCCAGGGAAGTTGATGTCTTAGGATAAGAAACTTCCATCACGTTGACATGGCAGTTGGTCGGGCAGAAGTCGCTACTGTGCAGTGGGGAGATCTTGGATTTGGCCTGCTTAAAGGTGGGCCAGGCTCTGTTCTTCAGAACCCGAGAGAACTGCAAATTAAAGAAGCAATGGAAACCAGTTGGCCACACAGTAATGACTCGGCTATCTCATGTACATCAATCATAACAAACTCAAAAGGAAATTAAAGCTTATCAACCTGGATAAAGTAAAATGATTATAGTATCAGAATTTACACGGCTGTTTCAAAACCCGAACATCCCATTAAAGCAAACCATACAGACAGCAAAGGTGATAGCTTAGCTGAAGCTGTGACTGTGAGTTGGGGCCTAGAAAGAATGAACCTCTGTGACAACACAACTTCTTAGCACTGGGTCCCCATGGTCCCAGGAGCTGAGAGAGCCCGACAGAGAAACATACAGGAAGGGCACCAGAGCAGAAAGTGGAGTTTTAAAACTAGGCAAGTCAGCAAAACAGTACAGCTATAGGTGGTCAAAGGTAGAAGAAGATGGGGTCATCCCAGGCACCATCCGAAAGCCACCCAATGCGTGAGTCTGTGCAGACCCAGCTGCAAGCTAAGGAGGTGCTGGCCCAGAGTGGAAGGATGGGCTTCCAGTACACCCTGCCAGGAGGGTGGCCTTTATAGCTGGGGCCAGCCAGAAGTCTGTTGTGCACTCTTCTTCCAAGCCTTTGACAATAACGTGCTACACAGATGGTTTGTGACTTCCATGTGTCTACCCTGCTACCCTAAAGTGGCAGAGGCTTTGCAGCGGTCTCCATAAGCTCCTTCCAGGCTATATGAAACCAATAATATTGTGGTTCTCACCAGGCCTGCTCCCCCTTACTTTAAAGGTCTCTGTCTCCTCACTCCATAAACTCCTTCCGGCTTGTACATAGCTCCTCTCATACATCACCCACTCTCTCTGGGCCTTTGTACAAGATGTTCAGTGTGTCTAGATGGTTCTCACTCATTGCCAAACGCTTTCTCTTCAGCAGCTTTGGATTCCAGAAAGTCATCAGAAGTTGTACATGAATTTTGGGTCAATTTCCTTTGCCTTAGTTACGAATTAGAAGGCACCTGCAGGCTTCCTCACAATTAGGAATAACCTCCTTCCTCTAGCTCAGCTGGTAGAGGGTAAAGTCTATGGGATAGCGATCTTGTGTACAAGAGGTAGACACCTCAGAGAGCCCAGCTGGATTATTGCTTTGAAGGCCTTTGCTGTCTTTTGACCTTGGTGTCAGGACTGTTACAGGACTGGATATGACATTGGGAAAGTCGGTATCTTATCACTCAGTAAATAGGAGATTTGGATCAGATAATCCTACTGAGCTCTTCTCCCTAAAACGACAGCCACGACCCTACTCTCTCATGTTACCAGCAGAATAATAATTCTAGCACTGAGAAGAACAAAATTTAAGACTATTACTGGCCACTGGACATTTTAAGTTAAACATAATGGTATATATGAAAGATCATATTCTATATGTATAAGTTCACTACTGGAATAAAGACCCTCTTATATGCATACAGAGCATATCACTGTATATACACAAAGATATGTATAATATGTATCCTAAAATATTTATATTTCATTAAAGACCCTCTTATATGCATACAGAGCATATCACTGTATATACACAAAGGTAAGTATAATATGTATCCTAAAATATTTATATTTCATTTATATTTATTTAGTTGTATAGCTCAGTCAAGCAGTACAGCAGGGATCAGAATGAAATGCAGGAAGTTACTAAGAAGATTGCCACCAAGCTTGATGACCACGTACACTGAAAAGAATTAAGGAATTTGAGAGATTCCAGATCCAGCTCCTCACCTTAAGAATAAACTTTCAGCTGAGATGGGTCCAGGATTTAAGGCACATTAGATACAAATGTTCAACCCAAGTTCTTTTCTACTTTTATTTCAAGATTGAAGTCTTAGCTGAGCCTCCATGACACACAGAGGCACGGTAGTATGTTGTGATAGCAAACACCATAAAAGATTAAGATTCTCTTGCCTTACCTTTCAACCAATCATACATCCAGTGAGAAATAAAAGAGGGAGGTATCTGTTCAGGCCTCCAAGATAAATACTGAGGATACAACCCCTAACCCATGAAGTATACACTCTATGAGTAGAACAGTTAAACACTATACATATTACTGTTATACAGAACAACCATAAAGTTACAGTCATATATACCACAAGTATAGATATATAGAATGATATGTGTGCAACAAACACATCAGAGATATACAAGCTAGGTGATCAGAAATGTTGAGAAGGGGATGAGCAGGGTGATGTAATGAAGTGCTTAGGGGTAGGAGTAGGAACCAGAGTGATTTGAGATGGCAGGGTTTGGGCAGTGAGGTAGACTCTCAGATCCTTACCACAGTACAAATTCTTGAGGCTATACCTGGAGAGAAATCATAGCCCTGTATCAGAATGTACCTGAATTAGTTCAACATAAGCATCTTGGAGGAAGGCTATCCTGAGAAGCAAAAGCATCAAGAAAGAAGCAGTGCCGGGCGGTGGTGGTGCATGCCTTTAATCCCAGCAGTCGGGAGGCAGAGGCAGGCGGATCTCTGGGAGTTCGAGGCCAGCCTGGTCTACAAGAGCTAGTTCCAGGACAGGCACCAAAAGCTACAGAGAAACCGTATCTCGAAAAACAAAACAAAAAAAAAAAAAGAAAGAAAGAAAGAAAAAAGCATTGTCCAGCATCCTAAAACGACTAGTATGAATTTGATGTGTTTAGTAAATATTTGTGTTAGAAACTTAATTCATGTTTTGGTTTAGGTATGAAGACCTATGTCTTTAAAGGTTCCCAGCTTTGTGGCAAGAATGGCAGTGCTGGGACCTTTGCGAGGTGAGACCAGTTGAGAGGTCTTCAGGTTGGCCTGAAGAGCATTTTGTTTTTGAGTGGGATGTGGATCTCTCTGTCCCTGTGTCTCTATCTCTCGATGTCTCTGGTCCTGTTATAAAAGCAAGCTGTCTTTGACATGTTCACTGTCTCATGTGAGGCCCTTGCCAGATGTTCATCAGATGTTACCCGATCTTCAGTTAGCACAGTAAGTTGAAGAAGCATCTCTTCCTCATTAGTCACCCAGTCCATGGTACACAGTTACAGCATCACAACTTGGACTGAGGCAGACAACCTTAGGGAAGGAGGAAGCAACAGGAGTGTCTCTCTACCACTGGCACCTGGAGCAGGGTAGAAAAGTGAGCATCCAGACACCAGCTTCCTGGTTTCCAGGGTAAAAATTTTCAGAAACAAAATCCTAAAACAAGGAGGGTGCAGCCAGTGAACTGACCGTGTTGTGTATACCAGAACACACTTTACGCCATGTGTGACTAGCATTACAGCAACATTCAATGAAGTGCCAAGTTTATTAAGAAAGGGAGAATAACTTTTCCCAAATGAAAATTGATAATTTTCAATAAAGGCATCTACTGGGTCTAGGGAGAGCTGTAAGGGACAGAATGTTAGGTCTACTGTGGAACAGCACAGCCTGAACTGATTGCCACCTTCACACAATTACTGATGAATTAGAACCTGCATCTTCAGGGAGTTGATTCCAGCACATGATTGGGATACTAAAAATCAAAGATGTCTCCTATATAAAGTGACATAGCACTTATATATGACGTTTCTTTTAATTTTTACATTTATTTACTTGTGAATGGCAGGGATGCATACATTTGGAAGTCAGAGGACATCTTGCAGAAGCTAGTACTCTCCTTCTACTGCCTGGGTGCCAGGGATTTAAAAAAAAAAAAAGGTTAACAGGCTTAGCAGGCATCTCTTTTACTTACAAAGCAATCTCATCAGCCTGTAATCAAGTTATCCTTAACATTGTTTATAAAGTACCTAGAACAATGTAAATCCTATATAAACATTCATTGTAATGCATTTTAAAATTTTGTGTTATTTTACTTTATTTTACAAAATGCTTTTGATCTGCAGTTGATTGACTCTCTGGAGGTGGAACCACAGATCTGAAAAGATGGAGTGAACCTAGTAAAAGGAGGATGTAATCCTGAGACAGAGAAAATAATAGAAGGGACATCACAGAGGGGTGGAATGCGAACTTCATTGAAAACATGTTAGGTCTGAGATATTCATCACCTCATGTGGAGAAGCCAATGCAGAATGAAAGAACAGTAAGTACCGAGCCCTGGAGATCATCAATGAAGGGTCAGAAAGAAAAGGAGAAACAGGTTCAGGTCCTAGGAAAACACCACCGGCAAAGACACAGGTTAGGGACAGGCAGTGTTCCAGAGAACAAGGTCAGCTGCCCCTGGTTCTGCTGAAACAAGATAAAGAAGGGTCGTGAAGGGGCTTTGACAAAACATAGCCATTTCTGTGACGTGGCAGGGATCAGGGCCCAGCTGTAGAGGGCTGAGGATGAAAAGAGAAGCAATGGTCCACCGAAGGATACAGGAGGCTCCTTCCAGGAAGGAGATGGAAGGATGAAACCGTGGGTGGAGGGGAGGCAGAGGGCAAGGACGGCCACATTTTTAGTCCAGGTGATAATGAAGAAGTGCCTGTAAACTGACAGGGATGCACAGTTCTTAGACATGAAACACTCCAAGTTTTTTTTTTTTATGCACTGGAAGCAAATTCATGTTTAAATTCAATACAGTCATTTAACTAAAACCCAGAGATACTATAAAAGTAAATTATTACTCTGCAGATGTCTCCCATTTCAATTAAATGCAAAATGTTTTGCAGCAGAGTTAGGAAGAAGATTTTTTTTATATTAGATTATCCTCTTAGAAAAGGAGGGCAAAGAAATTTATGCACAATGTTTCAAATCCATGTATCAGCTTGAGGATCATATGCAGTAAGCAAAGTAGAAAGAAAATTCAAAGGAAGTTTTCCAATTCTTTCAGTGTTATTTTTGTGTAAACAAGAACCACTTCAAGGAAGCTTACGAAGAATTTCTGATCCTCACAATAAGTCCAATTATTTCAACCAGGACAGTGACTGTAAGACTAGGAAGGTTCTCAGTACAGAGTTCAGAGAATGTTCCCAAAGGAAGACACAGCTTCTTCACACCTGAACCAACCACAGTTTAGCTACACAGAAGAAATCCCTGCTTGGGATTCACTTAGTTGTCCAGGACGCTCTAGGGTTACATCATACGTGGACAGCAACACATTTGATGACCTGTAGAAAATCTGTTATGATCGCAGGAGCCTGGCCACAGAAGTTACTGGAATTCATTAGTTCTTAGTTCTAAAATCTAAAATGTTTAAAGCCAGAATAAAGCAAAGCCAGCCTAAGATTTTAGTTTCCACAGACACTTCTATAACAATTGACACAGACACTATAACAATTCTTTAATTTAAATATATTTTTATCATATTCCCTTCCGCCAAGTCCATTCATATTCTCCCTGTCCCTACCTACACAACTTTAAATTATTGCTCAAAAAAAAAAAGAAGAAAAAAACCCCTCAAAACCCCAAGATAACGATAAAAGTACCTCAAACCAAGACAACAAAATAATACAACCAAATGGGAGGGGGGAACACCAAACTGTAACCAGATGAAAGGACATACAAAAAAACCTGTGGAGTCCTTTATATGTTTGTAAACTACATCTGAACATGAGGCCTGCCCTGGAGTGGCTGATATACCCTTGTCACTCCATGGGAGAAAACTCATTTTCCGTCTCCCCGCAGGTATGAGTGGCAGCTCAGTTGTTAATATTCACTCTGGTTGCTAGTTTTCCATTCATTAATTTTTTTAAAAAATAAAAAATATAATAAGAGAAAACCAAAACTATTACATCAGATGTGGACAAGTCAAACCTACAAAAGGAAAGCACAAGAATGAGAGACCAACTCGTTCATACATTCAGGAATCTCACAAAAATACTAAACTGGAATCCATGGTCTATACACAGAGGACCTGATGCAGATTCCTGCATGCCCTGTGTGTGCTTCCTTAGTCTCTGTGAGTTCCTATGAGCTTTGGTCATGTTGAGTTAGAGGGCCTTGTTTTCTTGGTGTCCTCCATACCTTCTGACTCTTTCACTCTTTCTGCCTCCTCTTCCGAGGGCTTCCTTGAGCTCTGAGAGGAAGAGTTTGATTGAGAAATCCAATTTAGGACTGAGTGTTTCTATGTCTGTCTATCTGTGTCTGTCTGTGTCTGTCTGTCTGTGTGTGTTCAATGTCTGACTGTTGCTCTCTGTATCTGTTCCCACCTGCTTCAGGAGGAAGCTTCTCTGGTGATGGATGAGCATGGCACTGATCTATGAGGTCTATACTTTTTATTTCACAAAAAGAGGCATCTAGAAGCTTTCATTTGGAAGAAAAATGTTGCTAATAATAACTTCAATTGTTTTTATTATATGTGGGAATTAAAACTCTGCTTTCACAAAGGCTGTGCTTTCTGTTGATATGAACTTGATAGATACACGAGCTAATCTTCTATAAACTACTAAAATTACCAGCATCCTGTTCAAACTGAAAGGGTCATTGACATATTTTCATGTTAACCCTGAATATTCCTCTAATGAAAAAGATAGTCAACTATTTTAAGTTTATTTATGGCCAACTGAGATGACAAGGAACACAGTTTATACAACTATCAGGCCTTACCAGACGAGCTGTTTCTTGAGGAATAACAAAAGTAAGTAAGAGAGCATTCAAATACTTCCTCAGCTATATGAACTGAGGCAAGAGTTATTTCCTAGAGACAGAAGCAGGACAAGACTCATCATGGATAAGAGATTCGAGACTCATCCAGTGAGTGACACCTCTCACAGTGTGGTCTCTAATTCAGTGACATAATTCTTATCATCTGTGATCAGTGCCCACTAAGCTGGCCATGTCTTCATTAAAATGTCATAGGACCCTATGTTACTTCTACATAAATGCAGAATACCATAAATTCCCCAATACGGTGGAATCTTCACTATTTGGGCAGTGTATGCTTCTGAGCCCACTGCACTCACACCCCTTTCCTTTTTACACATATATTAGTTTCCTTGAGAAAATGAGAAATGACAGAACCTTACTCTTCCATAACCAAACCATCAATGCATGCATGTTGCTCCCTAGACATAATTAATATTGATCCCTCCATCTTTCATCTCATGGGCTTTGAACCATCCCAGGTCATCACCAATTTATATCTATGCAGGTTGAAGAGACAAGCGACATTTCCACTGTGACTCTCACCCAAGAACACATTATATTAGATATTCTAAACAAAACAATCACTGGAAAACACATATTCACTCCTTTTCTACTCTGATTGCAACTAACTCAAATCTTCCCTCCTAATCCGGGCACTCATCCATCTTCTCCATTAATTGTCCAGTCTAACTTCTAGACTAGCTGAATGGCATTTCGCCTTCCTGCCACCCTGATGTGCCTTTGTCGTGGCAGTGGCTGTTGTTCAAACAGGCTCTCGCTATGTAGCCCTGGCTACTCTGAAACTCACTACATAGATTAGACAGGCCTCAAATTCACTGAGCTTGACTTGCCTCTACTTCCTGAGTGCTGAGATTAAAGAGGCTAAGGAGCATACCCTGCCTAACTTGTCTTTTTATTGTAAGAGCTACATTTGTTGACTACTTAAAACAGTGATTTGTCCTTTACAGAAATCCTAATGTTCTTACGGTTGGTTCATTTTATTATGGAACATAGAGCCAGTGACCTATATCCTAAAAATATCTGCTACACAAAATAATCCATTCTGTTTCACTCATTCTTTGCAGAGTTCTGTTTATGAGCACTACCTATGATACCTCTTGGTGTTGCCTCTGCAAAACCTGGTGTGACAACTAGTCAAAATGAAGAGAATAAGTGACCATGGGTACCCAGTCCCAACTGCTAACATTTATAATCTAACTTCTGTATAATGACTCAGGGAACATAGCAGAAGAGAGGGAGGAAAGACTGTACATGTCTAGAACACATGACCGGGATATATACACTCATGAAAGTTCACCAATATGGTTTCTTAAACAATGTGGATGGCAGAACTTTGAGAAGGCCATAACTTTGATGAAGTGCTACAGGCAAACAATGGTTGCAGACAGAGGGAGAAAGAGTTTTCTTCAAGGATGAGTTCCCTGATAGACTATCCAATGCTAAAACATGGGGACTAAACACACATACGTACAAGCAATACTAAATTACTAAATGGGCTCATTAGGTACACATGCATGCACGCTCACACACAGAAGAAAAGGCTACGAATGGAGTAGGGGAATCATGTGGGGGAAGGGAGGGGTGGAATAATTGGTATGAAAGATTTTCTTTAGAAAAATGAGCCCAAGAAAGGCTACTGTGCTTGTTAGCTTTATGTCCACTTGACACAGGTTAAAGATATCTAAGAGGAGGGAACTTCAACTGAGAACATCCCTTTATAATATCTGGCTGAAGGACAGTCTCTAGGGCATTTATTTAGTGACTGATGGAGGAGGACCCAGCCCATTGTGGGTGGTTCACCCCAGGGCTGGTGGTCCTGTGTTCTATAAGCAAACAGGCTGAGCAAGCCAAGTGAAGCAAGGCAGTAAGCAACAACCTTTCATTGCCTCTGCATCAGCTCCTCCCTCCAGGTTCCTGCCATGCTTGAGTTTCTGCCCTGACTTCCTTCCATGATGAGCACCAAATGAACTCTTTCCTCCCCAAGTGCTGTTGGTTATGGTGTTTTATCACAGCAAGAGTAACCTTAAGTAGGAAAACCATGCATACTTACATACACATAGCTCACAGGGGTTTGGGTAAGTATATAGTAGATTGTTTCCCTTTTCATTTAGGCTACCATGAAGCAGAAGGCAGATAACGGCATTCGATTTTGGCAACTACACAAGAACTTGGGCTGTATCGTCAGAGGACTATTTTCCTTGTTTTTTATTCCTTTTTGATTGTTTGTTTATATTGGAAATGGACTTTTATACAGTGTATTTATTCTGATTACAGTTTTCCCTTCTAACTCCTCCTAGATCTTGACTTCCCCATCCACCCAACTTCACAGCCAATCGTTTTCTCTCTCATTAGAATACAAATAAGCATCAAAAGATAAAAAGAAAATAATTAAAAATAATATAAAATAAAAACAAACAAACCAGAACAGGATGAAACAAACTACCAGGAGAAAAAAAAAAGGAAAAGAAAAGCATGAGAAACACATACAACAGAGTTCATGCACACAGAAATGCCATAAAGACACACGGGAAGCCACAGTACATATGCAAAAGACCTTCAAGGGGAAAAAAAACCCCACAGAGTCTCCAACATTTTGTTACAGCAACAGAAACTGACCAAGAAAATTACATGAATATTATTTCAATAAATGAGCACATAGCACATATGTAAAGAAGATACTCAAAAGTGATTTAAATGTGACTCAAACAATAACTCCAATAACACTGTCATGTAAAATTCAACGTACCTTCCTATAACTGGATATTCTGTGGCATACGTGTTCAACTCTTTCATTGCACATGGTGCTGAATTTATTCTGAAGGTCAGTGGGTATCACATCATTCAAAGAATTAAGACTGGTGCAGTTGTGCAGAAAATGATCATCACTTTTTGCTAGGGCTTCCAGAATCTGTGGCGATTAAACGGACACAAAAGGAAAGTAACCTCAAAAGTGAGCACGTACAATTTCCATAAGTTAGCCCTGCAGTTGCCAGGGTTCTGTGGTCCACAGGCACAGCCTGTGAACTGGTTTGCCTTCTCAGGTTTGCAATCTCAGTGTTTGCCTTGTCTTGATGATAAAAGCCTGCTCGGGGAGCCAAACTGACTTCAAAGGCTCCCTGTTGGATAAATCATCTCACTCTGATGTGGGCACACATCTTCTGGACGTCTCTCATGCATTCACTCAGAAGATTTCCACCCTCACTTTGGTGGCGGAACAACCACCACAAACCCAGGGGAAAAGCCCTGACATCCTTGTCACCTAGTAGGATAACAGAGAAGCAAAATGCTGCCTGCTGAGAGACAGAACCAATGAAATCGTCTCATAATCTTATAGACCTTTATCTTATATGTTATGGTTTCTGATTTTGTTTTTATGGACTTTCTGTGTGTGCGAAAGTGTGTGTTCCAGTGTCTCTATATATTCCTGGGGCTTTTTTCTTAATCTATTTTCCTTTTGTTTTGTTGATTTTGTCCTTTCCTGGTTTGTTATTATTTATTTACTTACTTATAATAATTATTATTAATGCTTGTTTGTATGTTGGTAAGTAAAAGAAAGAATGGGTGTAGATTTGGGCCTTGGACTTCCCACAGGGCAAGATACCCTGCCTCTCTTAAGGAGGGAGGGAGAGTGGGGGAGCACAAGGTGAATGGGAAGAGGGAAGGAAGTGTAAATTTTTGAGTGGAAAAATAAAAAAAAAAAAGAAAGAAAAAAAAATGAAGAAGAAGTTCACTGTCGCGGAGTCACGCGTACCTTGGCAGTGAGGCTGAAGAAGCCTTTGGGCTCGACCATCTTCTCCACGACATTGCACTTGGTGCCTGCTGTGCTGTCATATTCATAGACAACCCCATACTCAAGGTGGACATTGTCCACTGTCAGGCTCACGTGCTCCTTCTTGCCATCGATAATGGCCATGGTGTTGAACTTGTCGATGACCTCTGGAACACAACATTAGTAAAGCTAATTCATGTTTTTCTTGTTTTTCTGCTCACCAAATAATTTCGAATCCCTGGGATTTTCTTATTATTTTTATTTTACTTTTGACGCAGAATCTTACAGTGTACCCTTGGCTCATCTGGAATTTACCATGTAGGTTGGACTGGCATTGAACTCAATAGACATCTGCCTTGCTCTGGCGACCAAGTACAGAACCAGAAATGAGAATGTTTCCAACAGACCCCCCCCCCCCCCGTGTGTGTGTGTGTGTGTGTGTGTGTAGTGCCACAAGCATATATTTACCTCTTATTGTCAAGGTGGGAATATAACAAAACTTACTTGAATTGGGTATATTTTTAAAGGGGCTACAGACTATCTCAACACCAGGACTTCTTGTATGTACATGACCATGTGAAACAGATCTTACAAAAATGGGGACCTGAGCCATCAGACTTGAGGTAGAGGGAGAGAATCCACATGTCTGCCAAGCTTCCAAAAACACCTACTATGGTGAGACCCATAGGAACAGAAACGTCTAAAGGACTTTCACCTCCAAGGGAGAAATCCTGCCTTGGATCCACCCTCTTACCCCTTATGACTTAACTAGCACACTAGACCGTTGTCCTAAATGGGCTCAATTTCTTCTTCCCTAAAGAGAGTGTCCGGAAACTGATGAGAAATACTAGGAAAATCCTGAAAAGGGGCTTGCTGCAAAGCCTGTGATGCTCAGCTGTAATCTCATCATTTAGGAGTCAAAATCACATATTCTGGACCATGCTAGACCGTATAGCAGATGTCAACCACTCTCCATTCCTACTTCCATGCATGCAATGACATATAAATTTAACAATGAGCCACAGCCTGGAAATACAGAACTTGGAAGTACTTGGGAGGAGAGACAGAGACAGGCACTATGAAAGAGACAAGAGTAAGCATATGAGGAAAGGAAAAAAAGTAACCCACCTTCTACTTTGCAGTCCAAAGCTTCCCCTGCCTCGTCTCCAGAGGGTTTCAAGTGGGACTTGTGCAGGTCTTCATGAGCACTTTCAAGACTATCATAAACCCACTGTATGGAATCTTGCTGGAAGTGAGGAAAGGAAGAACTCTTAGAGCTAGATACCAGGATGCATATTAATTTCATAACCCTGCTTGAGAAAGAAGCTTGACCATCTAGCTTGTTTATTTTTCTAGCTGAACAGTAATAAGTTTTGAAAAAAAAACAAAACATCAGAATGGACATTCAATGACAATTTAATGCTCTGTTTCTAGATTAAATTACCTTCAGAAGATAAACTTTATATATTTATCCTAAAGATGCATTTTTTTAAAATGGGATATTGTTCTCAAATGTCTTACTGAAATATCTCAATTATATCTTTAAATGAGTTATCAATTATACCTTAAAATAAACAAATGCTAATGGGTAATTATTTGCTGTACCAATTACCTATAATTATGTACACCATTTTAAGGTCCTAACAGTCACTCTGTTTAAATACATTAATGGTATTATGAATTAAACCAATATGAAAATTGGAAGACCATCTATTTCATACTGAATTTCCAAGTCATGTAACATCCTTTTTACTTAGTTCATAATTCATCCTATATTTTAATTGAAACAGCAGTTCTAATCTTATTTAGAGAAGCAAGACAAATTAAATGATTTCCAAACAAACACTTCAAGGGTTACATGGCTTTAAGGTTTATAAATAAGATGATAAACCAAATTGAGCTGAATTGTTGAAGTATAATATAATGTATCACACCCGTTTTTCCTTGAATCGGCTCTACAACTATGTTTACTTAGTGTGCTGCTTTAAGTCACTAAAATGAGAACTAAGGGTTGTAGATATTGTAGAAGTCAAGAGTAGGTACATGCTTAACATTTACAAGGTTCTAGGCTCAAACTCTAGCAACACACACACAAACATGGTAGCTGACTTGATCATTCTTGTATCTGTGAAGAATCACATCCACAGTATCTATGTCTTCTTTCAGGTCCTTCTTACCCTGACCCTGCCTATGACTCAATTTGTTCAGTGGTTTAGTGGCAAGCATCACCCAGGTAGAAGGCTATGGCTGCCAACACTCACTCCTGGTGTGCTGGTACTATTCACAAAGAAATTTCCTGCAAGAGACCCCCAACAAGAACTCAGGACAGCTTGACACACACATCTAGGGGCTATGAAGAGGGGATCTGGGTACCCTTTCAGGGTCCTGCAGAACATAGGTATATCAGCAGCTTTGGAAGAACCACCCTTCATTCAAAGTTGAAGAAAGACAATGTGGTCCTAAGTCACCTGGCTTCGGGGTCGTCTGTTACATGGCAATGGGTCCCTGACAGTGCATAGCACTCAGTGAATTCACTGTTTCTCTTAACGATTTCCTGATCAAGACTTCTCCAGGGAGATAATTGGGAAAAGGAAAGGAGTAAAAGTTAAGTGAACCAGTTTGTGTACTTAGCAAAATCCTAAGAGAGGAGGAAGGTTTCTTGATTATCTCTGAAGAGTCTGGGGGTGAAGGTCACATTCAATTGTACAGTTCAACAAGTGTTTACAGAACTGCCATCATTCAGAATAACCTATGAGACTATGCATCATTTCTAAGCTTCTATTCCACTTCTGACCTTAATAGTAAGCAAAATAAAACAGTTCTTTCCCTGTGGAGTCAGTGCCTTACAGAGCATCAGTCCTAGCTTCAGGACAAGCAGTCACTCATTCTACCAGTGTGGGCAATGCCATAGTCTCCAAAGCAAAAGAACTTGATCACACAGAGTAAGAAAAGCATATGACCTTCCCCCAGCAAAGGAGTGTCTCTGCCTCTAGTGGACAAACTGAGACTCTACCAGGCCATTATTCACTTTCTATTCAGACAACAATAGAACCTGCTTATATTAGGTTCAATTTCATCTTCTGATGATATTTAGCAGATCAAAGCATAACACTTAAAAATTTAAACACTGGCAAACACATGCTGATATTTTCTTTTAAAACTAAATCCAGTTGCCTAAATAACTATATCAAAAACTTAACCATTGAGTATATAAAATCCACAGTCTATATTTCTCCATAGAAGATTTGTTATAAAGAGCATATTTGTACAATCTTGATCTGTATATATTCTAAAGTATCTCATGAGAACATTTCATAGTTGTAGATTTAACATTAATAAACCCTATTCAAAATAAGTGCTGAGGGAGAAGGTCGGTGGCAGACAGTTGTCTAGTATGCACATGGCCCTGGGTTCAAGCCTTAGAAACAATGGGATTTGAAAGGAAGGAACAGAAGGAAGAACAGAAAGTTCCTCCGAACAAGTTTTTTATACAAATAATGATGCCACAAGAATTAAATGTAATGATAAAATACAACTACTTAAGCATAGCCAATACTAGATAGGATTAAACATTAGTATCAAATAGAGCAGTCATAATGAGATTCACAGTGCTGTGCTTAAGCTGGTAATGAAAAGCCATTCACACATTAGCCTATGCCATCTCCTAATTATTTCCTGAAAGATTTCCATTAAATCTAATCTTATGTGTACCTTCATTGGCCGCCTGAACTTCCGGCAGGCTGTGACGTGTGCAATGACACTGGCATGTGTCTCTTTGCTGACATTGATTCCGTTAACTTTGATAATACACTGTCCTGGGTGAAGGCCAGCCGCTGCAGCCACAGTACCTTTAAATACAAATGGGGAAAACTGTCAAAATCAAAAGTCAGCAAAAGGATTTACCTGTTTCAGATATAGCACAATGGGAGCAATTTTGAACATATCAAAGCTCCCTAAAATGTTCCTGATGCATCTGGTTCAGGTAACAATGTTCTCTCAGTCTTTCTGGTTCTTCACTCATGATCTTGAGCACAATTAACAAAATATTCCACTGCCTCCATAGAAGAATTTTGAAGGAATATTGCATAGTGACCTTCATATTGCTAATCAGATGTTTCCCTTTAAAGGTCTAGTCAATCTAACTTTCTAAATACACAGTAAAAAAGTAAAATACCATAAGCATAAACTTTATTTAAAAATCCATAAGTACTAAAATAATGTTATTTTTGTTTTACAAACACCAGCAATTTAATGCACATATAAAAATAAATTCTTTAAAAATCATACATTTTTTTCTGTGTGTACACTGGTGTGTATGTTCACATGACTATACAAAAATGTATGGCTGTACAGGCATCAAATGTGCTCTTGTGTGCATGTACACATATGTGTGTGTCTACATGCACAGACCAGAGGTCAACAACAAACACTTCCTAGATTACCATTCACTTTATTTATTTTTTTTTTTTTGAGTCAGACTTCCCCATCCACCCTAGAGCTAAATTGTTAGCTAGGCTGGCTGTCTAGCAAGTCAGCCACTTTGTGTGCATAGGTATAGAATCTGTACCCATGTAAATGCACCTATGTATATATGTAAGTAGCATGTCCTAACTGGTGGTTTAAAATTTTCCAACCATTGATATTAATGTCAGAGCAAATTAACACCAATAAATACTAATAATGAGTTTTATATACATGCATATGTATTATACTAGTGTTCATAAAACTTACCATATAGTAGAAAAGATCTCTATTGCAAGCAATTCACCCATAAAGGAATCATAAACATGCTTTTCAAATTTTTAGACTTAGGAAAACACCTTTTGTCTCTATTTGATCCCTCCTAAGGTCCAGTCATAGAAATGGTTTTCCTGCTCTGAATTGAGTCTTGGGCAAGGAGGGACATTTCTAAGTCGGAAAATCACCTGGCTACCTAAACATACCAGCAGTTCTGTCCGTGTGTAAGCTTAAAGTTAGCAGGGTGGTGGTGGGTGTCAGCTAAGAATTGGGGCAGGGGGAGCAGATGAGACAGACGGAGGCAAGTCACAGAGCGACCGACTTCTCCCAGAAATCTGCTGCCTGGTGTGAAGACACTGAAGTCAGGACTTTATGTTTAGAGGATGGTGAGGAACATGCGTTGGAGTCTGAGTCTGTCAGTGAGGTGACCAAGAAGTGCATCATGGAAGTCAAGAGTGAGAAGGGGAGAGGGCCAGCAGAGCATAAACTCATATGAAGATGGCTAAGTGCAGGTAATGGCCTAGGAGGGCAGAGACGGTGAGTAAGTCTGGAACACAGCCTCTGTAACTCCGGGAAATCGCTGACTTGATTTGTGGTGTGTTGTTTCCTTGGGGTTTTGTTTTCTTTAGCTATTCTGAAGAAAGAGCTAAGAGGGTGCTTAGATTGGTCCAAGGCTGAACTCTAGTGGCCCGAAGGCAGCAATACTGCCAAGAAGGACTGCAGTGACCTTTTCTTGTAGCAGAATTTGTTTGATAATGAACACCACGGGGTGGGGGGGGGGGTCTGAGAGGAAAGACACAGAGTCCACCCCCACCCCACCTTTTCTATTTAAGAAACAAAGCTCACGAACACAGTGGCCACCCACTGAAAAGACCTTGATGGTGGTCACCGCTATACACATTCAGCTTGCAGGGGCTGTCCCCAAGCATGGGACAAATGTTACAGGTTAATAAAACAGAAGCACTATGCAACAGCTGGGCATACTTCTGTGTCGCAGTATTGAAGGGCTATTTGCTGTAAATGTCCATCCAACCACTGTGGAAGACTAAGTAAAAAGGTACTTTTTTGAAACAAGATTTATTTTTTTAATACACACATTAATTTTGTAATATAAAATTAATTGGTTCTGATGGCAACACCCTTTTAAACTGTTTCTCGTCATGTTTGAATGATCCCATTATGATAATTTACTTTTTTCCAGCCCTGCAAACAGCCACCTCCCCCTTACTCCACAAGCGCCAGAAGTCTCAGCTCACAAAGGCCCTTCTGGCTCCAGGAGCCAAGCTCCTTATTATGTGCAGCACTGGGAAATCTCTACTCCCTTTACTGGTGTCAAGATGAAATAAAAATACATATCATATGAGCTTTGGGCTTTTTGTTTGCCTTTCAAAGAAGTAAAGTAAAATATAAACAGGCTTTGAGTCACTACAATTATTTGACTTAGAATGAATCTCATGGTGAGGTTCATTGCAGACTCAAAGGAAAGAAATTGAAGAAAATATGGCGCAACTGGGTGGCAAGCCCACGGGGCTCTCTACAAAGCCTGAAAACTCACATTTTTAAATTATTGACCAAAATGACAGCATTTATTTGCTGCTAAGGAAAATATAAATAGATAACCTTAAAAATCATCATGAGTTTAAACTGAAATACACAAAAAATATTTTGTAACAGTAATCAATATAGTTAAGAATTTGGGGGTCCTACGGAATTGTTTATTTATTCGAGTGTGTGTGTGTGTGTACATAAGCATGTGTATGTAGAGGCCAAAGGCATCTTTCCTTGATCACTTCACCTCAGTTTTTGAGCCAGGTCTCTCTTGAACCTGAGATCTGCCATTGGACTGTACTAGACAGACAGCCAGCAAGCCAGGGGATTCTCCAGTCTCCCCTTCCCCAGGGCTGGGATTATAGGCAAGTGATGGAACGCAAAAGCCTTTTTTTTTTTTGCATTTTGTTTTTAGTGTGGGTGTTAGAGACCTGAACTCACAACCTCATGTGTATGGGGCACATATGTCACCTACTAAGCCCTCTTTCTGAGCAAAGCCTCACTCTGTCCCAAGCCTGCCTCACTTTTGCGACAATTCTTCTGCATTGGCTTTCCTGGGTATGGGAAACACAGATGTGAGCAACACACCCAGTCTGAGATTTGAGGTTTTACACTTTAGCATATTATTTCCAGAATGCACTGAGAGGAGACAATTCCTGACACCATGGTGATGCACATTTCAGTTGGGCATGGAACAGCCAAAGCACTTGACAGCACAGTTTCCCACATCGGGGGCCCGGGGGATGTCTCACCTCTTCCCACCGCGTGCACCACGGAAGGGCCAAAGCCTCTGATCTGGAAACCCAGCCCGTCTGCAGAATCTGGGATTTTAACTGTCCTAAATGTAACCAGAAAATAAGGTCAGACAACTGTAAACACCACAATAGGTTCTAACAACAGCCATCTCTACCTGAGCTCTGTCTAGCAATGCATCATACATCCTGAGTTCTCAGTGAGCAGGAGGAGGGGCGGGAAAAGGAACTGGGACTAGTAGGTAAAATGAGAAAAGATTGTTTTAGGAAAGAAGGAAGGAAGGAAGGAAAGAAGGAAGGAAGGAAGGAAGGAAGAATGAATTAATTAATTTAGCCTCAGGAGAGACTGACCAACAGCACCTGCCCCTAGAAGAAAGCACTAGTAGTGGCCACTCCAGCTGAGCCAGCTCAGGGCTCTCACAGGATGTAAATGCAATGGTGGGGGTAGACTCCAGATGGGCCAGCTCAGGGCCCCAAAAACAGGATGTAAAGAACAATAGGTAATAGTGGGCTGCTCCAGCTACATCAGCTCCAACTGCAGGGACTTCCTCACCAGGGAGCACCAGCCGTGCTTTAACCTCTCCCATACTGGACTTTCTAACTCCCTGGGCATTAAATCTCTTCTGGATATTCCTGCATCTTATTCATCTACTTGGATAAGATTTGGTGATGGAGACTTTGGAGGAAGTGCCGCCGCCCCCCAGAAATGTCTACTCTGGGGGAGGTACAGAGAGGAAAACAGAAGAGGAATCCAAGTCTCTATATGGCTCAGGCTCATCCTTGCTAGACTGGATTTGTGCTTCCCCTCAGGTTCGAACTGAACCACCCACTGTTCATCTATTATTATTCCCCAGCTGGAGTCTCCTATTGCAGGAGCTTGAGAAGGGAGACAGCTACTGGGGTCAAGACCAAGGGAACTGGAAAACTGGAGAGTGCCACTGAGCGAGAAGCCCTCAGAGAGAGCATCGTCCTTTTCCCAGCATAAGGTTTGTACACAGCATAGAGGCCATACAGCCTCCACACTGTGCAAATTCTTATGCACATGCCTCCATAGCAGTGGTGGCGCGTGCCTTTAATCCCAGCACTTGGAGGCAGAGGAGAGGTAGGCGGATCTCTGTGAGTTCGAGTCCAGCCTGGTCTACAAGAACTAGTTCCAGGACAAGCTCCAAAGCTACAGAGAAAAAAACAAAAAAGGAAAGAGTAAAAAGGAAAACAACAGATAATGCGAACAGCTAAACTAGCTAGACTAGCCCTGAGTCCTTATTCTGTACTTGGTAACTGGGTAAACTTGGGTCTGGACAAGCTCCTTAAATTCTCTGTTACAGAAAGTGCCACAGAAACTGTTGGAGGCTATGACTGTCAGAAACTGATATTGTAGTATGTAGGTGGGGATTAAAGCAGTGACAGCTTCTATCCTGCCTAGTTTCTGTGGCTGGAATACAAACAAGACCAAAAGCAAGTCAGAGGGGGCATTTATTTCATATTACAGGTCACTGTCAGTCACCAAGGGAAGCCATGGCAAAGGCTGAGGCAGGAACTGAAGCAGAGAACACAGAGCAATGCCATTATAGGCTTCCCTCCTGCCTCTACTTTGCTGGCTTCCTTGTGCAAGCCAGACCCTCCTGCCCAGGGTTGGCAGAACTCACAGAGGGTTGGGCCATCCCCCATCGATTAGAAGTCAAGTTTTACATTTCATCACCTCCCAATAATCCAGGATACTAAATTAATCATATGTGAAGTTGACTTCCGCTCTTCAAGATTATTGTACTTTTTAAACAAAATCTGTATACAACACCATGAAATTCATTTTAGGAAAAAAAATCCGGAATTCCTCTAATTAAATATGATTAAACTCTAATAAAAACATGATCTTTGGAGATCATGTTTTTCCAATGGGAAAACTACATTGCCCATTATAATAATTAATAAAATTATACAAGAGGAATGTTCTATTTCTGGTAGAAAATAAGTATGTGAAATTAGCTACTGCAAAGCCTTTCAGAGAAATTCCTTGATGTTATCAAGTGTAAAACACAGCTGGAATCAAAAGAAAATCCTGTTGTATTTACTGCTCCTATTTTTGTCTTTTCCCCTCCAAACAGGATACAACTTAAATTACAAAATACAAATTTAAGAAAATATGAGTAACCCAACCAAAGATTCCATACAGCTCTTCCTGAGGCCTCAAACTCTCTGGGCCTGAATCGATGATGCCTCTCTCACATTGCCTCGGAGGCCTGAGGTAGGGGAAAGCCACTGCTGTTTAAGACAAAATGAATGGATTGGAGAGCTTGAAGATAGCCCTACTTCACATTCCTCTTTATACAAGTGAGAACTAATTACTCGCTCTGGCGAGCATTGCAGGTTATCTGCCTGTACCGCAGTAAAAGTAGCTGGAACTACTTTACTCTCTGACAAGTTACCTGTCCAGTTAGAGCAGAAAATTCATGCAGGAGAAAAACCTGTGCTGTCACTGCTGTCCTCCAGCTAGTTTATGGAGGAAAATGTCAAGGGAATGAGAAGAAACCGCAAACGTTTGGGAATGCCTTGGTTAGGGTTGAATGAGAAGAGTCCTCAACAGATACCTGTCCTGGGAACTTGACAGATGATGGGGCTTTGAGGAGGAAGAGAGTGGATCTGAGAGATCCGGCCAAACTGATGGTGGGTACCCTGATGGACTCATTCTATTCTGGATTACTGGAAGTGATGGAAGTAGAAGATAGGGCCTAAAAGGAAGACCAGGACCATAGAGGTGTGTTGTTGGGTGCTGTATCGTCTCCTGACTATTTCCTGCCTTTCCATCTCTGTTTCCAGTGTCCCATCAGATGGAGAAATTTCTTTGCTCCCCCTACCCCACCATTGTGTTCTAGCCTAGCACATGGAGCCAAGAACGGTGACCTGAATCCTTGGAAACCATGAGCTGAAAGAAAGCCTTCCTACCTTCAGCTGCACATGTCAGCAATTTGTCACAGAGGGACATGAAAAATGATGAGCTCAGCCTCAACAGGCAGGGACATGTCCATGAACACATAATAAATAGATCATTATAAGTACTTTGAATGTGTCAAAGCTTTCAAATAGCTTCCAGCTCTCTACGGATCAGAAGTTTAGAATGAAGGGGAAACCAGCAATCTATGTGGTTGAGATGCTCATTTTTAAACAGAAACATTAAGATGGAAGTGCCTTTGCGGTGTCAACTATAAGCAGATGACTGTAACTGCTATTGCTTGTCAAGGCAAACTGCAGCATCTCTGGGCACAGGCCTGCTCCTCACAGTCGGGGCTAAGTATCTACCAGCTTTTAACAAGTAGACTGGATTGGGATGCCAGGACACAGACCTCAGTGGGCAAAGCATCTCCTCAACTATGGTGTCATGAGAATTTTACTTTATAAGACATTTTCCTCAATGGAAATCAGGGTAGCTGTCTAAAGAACATATACATGCCAATTAATAACATGACTTCCAAGATTTCCCACATCAAATGCCCCTCTCGCTTATTTATGCTTTGGCAAATATAGCAATGTGTTGTGCTCCATACTTTCTTCCCGTTCCTACAGTACATAACTTTGTGTGGTTGTTGTGACCATATTGTCTCTAAAATAGAAAAGATCGTTTCTCTCTTTAATATATGTGAGTAGTCTATAGGACTTTGAGTCCTATAGGGAGACTAATAGGGCAAAATTTAACATTTCAAATACATTGAAAGAAACATGAGCATGCAATCTTTTTAAACTGTGTTCATGTATTTATTCTCTGTGTATGTGTGTGTGCACATAGGCATGTGTGCCTACGTGTGTCTAGAGGTCAAAGTATGACTTTCAAGAGTCAGTTCTTTCCATCTACCATGTGGCTTCTGAGGATCGAGCTTAGGCCACCAGGTTTGGCAGCAAGTGCCTTTACATGCTAAGCCACCTGATCTTTGCATGTATGCTGCCTTTTAAAGCTATTTTTGAATACGTTACAAAATATTCTCTTGATGCAATGCTGACCCCAGCAGTAAGCATTAAACACTTCACCTAGCCTAGACAAACCAGGACTCAGTGTCTTAACAGCTCTACGGCAGAGGAACCTTGTGCCATCGCAGCAAGGAGGACATGGAAATAAGTAACAGGATAAAGATGCAAGGCAGGCTTGAACCTCAGGTTCAAGATACTGCACAGCAGCACTTGGGGAAGGGCTGGAAGACGAAGGACCAAAACTCTGATGGCTGAGGATTTGCTCCCATCTGTTTATTTCCAATGTCATTGGCTCTGTGCTCTTCCAATTGTTGAGATGTCTATGTAAGCGATAAGTTAGTGTAGGGGTAAACCAAGTGGTCACAGGGCATATCCTATATTCACTAATAATTGTTCTTAATAGCCCTGTATTCATTCCTAGGATGTTTTATTCCTTTTAAACACCCTAAGTGTGTCAGGTGATAGGCTGCTAAGACAGCCTTACCCTAGGCAGGGCTAGATAAAGAGGGAAAAGTCAACTGTAATTTTATGTAAAAAGGAGGCACAGCTGTGGTTCTTTGCTGCCCTCTAGTCCAGGGTTTTCTGTGTAAACTGTATTAACAAGTTACACTTGTTCTTCAGGCCACTGGGCACACTACATTATGAGCTAAACCATCCATGCCCATTAATGACTTAGTGTTGTCACAAAGAGACAGACTGGGGAGACTCCAGCCCATTACACTAAACTGAAGACTCATGAAAAGTATATACATGATATACCTAGTTATTTCTGAATGTATGTGTACTGGGTAATATTTTACATATAAAAATATTTTAGCCTGGCAGTGGTGACACATGCCTTCAATCCCAGCCCTTGGGAGGCAGAGACAAGTGGATTTCTGTGAGTTCGAGGCCAACCTGATCTACAGAACAACTTCCAGAACAGGTTCCAAAGCTACAGAGTTTCTCTGTCTCAAAAATACAAAATCAAATAAATAAATAAAATTTAAAGTCAATAAGACTTCATCTTAAAATTAATGAAGTTGCTGGTTACTACTGATACAATTTTTTTGTTTTGATTTTTGTTTTTTGTTTGTTTTTTCAGACTGGGTTTCTCTGTAGCTTTGGAGCCTGTCCTAGAAATAGCTCTTGTAGATCCACAGAGATCCACCTACCTCTGCCTCCTGAGAGTTGGGATTAAAGGCATGGGCCACCACCACCCAGCTCTACTGATAACAACTTTTAATTAGCAATTCTGACATAGCTCATCCACATGTTCTATTAAACACTCTACATACATGTTATCTCACCCAGCTAACGCAACAGTTCATGACTAATCTGAGATCATTAACAGAAACAAATTCTAGAAGAAAAGTCAATGAACTACACATACATCAAACGTTTTAACCAAAGAAGTTGTGGGTACAGCACGGTACTATTCTATATGTGTACAACTGTAACATGCATCAGTACTTGGAATAAACAGCAATTGATTTCAAACAGTAGTGGATATTTATGTGTGGTAAGATTTGAAGAAAATGTTTTCCTCTAGAGACATCTATACTTTGAATTGTTCATGATAAATATATTGTGATGTTTCAGATATGAGGTTGTTTCCAAAAGACTCATGCGTTGAAGGGGGTCTTAAGATGGCAGCATTCTCTAGAGATGACTGGAACATGAGGGCACTGGTTTCATCTCTTGGCTGACCCATGGGTGAGTTCACAGATGCTGATCTATTAGAAGTGTGCCCCTTGGGAGGAAGTGGTTACCTGGAAGGGTGCCTTGACAGGGTCTGTCTTGTCAAGGGGCCGTTCCTACGCGGTGTCTCTGCTTTCAGAGCATCACCGAGTGAACAGTCTCACAACACCATGCCATCTTGTGATGGGCTGAAACTTCAGCCACCGTAAGTCAGAATAATCCTCTACCCTTTAAGTTACCTCAGCTATTCTGTCACAGAAATGAAAGGTTGACACAGACATTGGTATTTTCTATTTACGTAGATAGATGACAGAGAGATCAACAGAGCTTTGGGTCAGTTTTGTTTTAAAGGAAAAGGTGTCTTACTAAGTATGGTGTACCTTCTAGATTTGACTTTATGAATATGAGCAGTACATTATAGACTGTGTCTAATCACAACATTTACTACAACCAAGCATGTAGCTCTTTATTCCTGACTTTCAGGTGTTCTACTAGATTATTTTTTTACTCAGTCAAACTCAACATAACCCAAAACAGCCACACTTGGGCAGGAAAAGAATAACATCATTGCTCCCAACACCAGAAAATTTAGGAGTGAGCACCTATTACAATAGACGACGCAGCTTCCTCTAGCCTCTAAAGACCTGCATTCATTGTGCTGCATGCCTGAATGTTCTACCATGGGGGATCCGGATGATAAATCACTACCTGATCAGTATCTTTCAAATTTTACTCATCCATGTATCACTGTATCACTTACTCCCTTGGCTTTGTGCTCACGAGGACTCGCAGAGGCTTTTTGCTGTTTAAGCATGATTTCAGAAAGCAGTCAACTTCAGAGAAAGGTCTCAGGAAAACCAGGTCACCATTAATAGCAAAGATCTTCTTCCCAACTTCCATGCCGGCCATCTAAGGGAGAAACAGCAAGAAGAATTGGGACGATAATTTAATAAATATTTTAGGTTTTCACAAACCAAACCAAGGGGAAGGCTAGCATGTACAGATTTGGACATGAGAACACACATATACATTAACATTATACAACTTTATATAACAGAACTATGAATGAAGTAACAGTTATAATAATCTGTGACATCATTATGAATGGGATAAAGCAGCTTTGCTGAAATCAGTCTTCCCCTAGCCCTATGCATACTCTACCCATCTGCGACTCATTCTTGCTGTTGAAGTAAGACACTTTAATTAAAAAAAAAAACTTGTCCTTTAACATGAAAACTCCAGGTTAATTTACTTTTACATATGTTTTTATACGTAAACATATATATTTAAATACACATACTGTACATAAATACATATATTTATTTTACTCAGAAATGTATTGAAATCAGAAAATTCCAACCCCTGAATATATGATTATATTGACCACAACCACTATGTCTCTCCAGCCTACATCAGCATGAGTGTGCCTACTACAGGGGAATAAAAGGAGTGGCCTGGAATCCAACGGCAGAGATAACCTGAATGCAACATGCTGAGAAAGGACAAGGATGACATCATCCCTGCAGTTAGCCCCAATGTTCTTAACCAGTAAGACTGCACATAAATTCCCTGCTGTTTTGGACCGCAGCTACTTGAGAGATAGTGTTTTATCTACAATAGAGTAAGATGAAGCTGTGCACTAAGAGCAGCGTCTAAAAAGCCTGGGAAAAGTACCATCTCCTATAGAACTGCTAACCACGGTCACTTGGTGCTGCAACACACTAACAGAATACAAATGGACCAAGGTAATATACTTTCACTTGGAGTACCGGATAGAAAGCTTTACCCTGCACACTTTTGTTTAATGGTGAAATAAAAGGCCTTTAGTATTAGCATATACAGAGTACCACTGACTTTAGTAAAGAGATTTAAAATTATATACGGCCTACTTCTGCAGTTCTTACATTTAAAGACCCAAATTTACATATTAAAGACCCAAATCCTGAGGTGCTTGCTTAAGGGTTATATATCTTGCAAGCTAGGCAGCAGGGTAAAGAGTCTTGAATCCAGAATCCCTTTGGTACAGCAATGGAAAGTAAGCTCCGTGAGGACAGTGATAAAAGGAGAAAGGGATGAAGGGGGTAGGAGGGAGGAAGGGAGGAGAAAGTTCATATGTGTGTACATGTGTGTGTTTGCATGAGGCAATCAGAGATTCTCCTTGTCACCTTGTTTCTTGAGACAGGTCTCTCATCAGCCTGGTATTCCCCACGCAGCCTAGGGCAGCTGACCTGTGACACCTGCCTCCACCTCCCAAACATAGGATTACAAGTGCATACAGTACACAATTATTTTATTTTAATATGGGTTTTGGTTCTCAAGCTCAAGACCGTATCTTGTAAAGAAAAACTTTTAAAGACTAAACTGTCATTCCAGCTCAGAACAGGGACTTTGGTCTGCTTTCTATATGTCTATGCTCCCAGAATCTAGAATGGCACCTAATATATAACTGTTATTAAGTGACTATTTCTCATTGAAGAAGTCAAGGATGAGAAGATGCCACTGTTTAAAAAACCTAGTGGTGTGAGATAGCATCCGTTAGCATTACTCTGATGAGAAAGTCAAAGTGTTTGCTTTACTGATGGAAATTAGATTCACAGAAAAGACGGAGGAAGAGGAAGATAGAAGACACCGCCCTTGGTTGATCAGAATGACTATCAGATATACACAGCACAGCTCTCCCACGCTATGTAGCCCCCACAGAGTTCCAGGGTGGATTTCACGATTGGGAAAATCCTGAGGTCACAGAGCATGCCACTTGGGGACTCAGCAATTGGGAGCTGTAGATCTCTGGAACATTACCACCTCCCCACCCCACCCCCCATCTCTGAGACACAGTCTCAGCTGCTACAGTCCACCACTATTTGACAGAATGCAAGCACATGAACATTCAGAGACACAACCTTCAATAAACACACAAAGTTTGATTTCAGTTTGACACTGTACTGCATGAAGGCAACCTGCTAACAAACATGCTAATTTACATTACCTCAGCATTAGAGCCCTTTTCCACTGACTTTATGATTGGAACTTTATTTTTGTCTTCCAGTCCAAAGCCATAGCTGCCTTCATTGGATTTAATCTGAAATGTAAGACACTAACATTATTGATAAAGAACAAGGAGACCTTTTACAATGAACTAGAGTGGAAGCCTCAGTGTGTTCGCCTGCTAGCGGCCACACCAGAAGGCGACTCACGGCACAGTGGCTTACCAACAGTGACTTCGCTATGACGTTCTCCACAACTTTCAAGTCATGTTTCATCAGCCTGTGTTTCATATTTGATCCTTCCATTTCCTCGTCGGCAAAGAAGCGGAAAAGTAGAGGCTCATCTTTGAATTCGCTTTTCTCAAGGACTGTAAGAAATGGAGAGAGTCAGATAATCTTAGTGAAGTGGGGTCTCTAGCTGGCTTTCACCCAGCACACCCTTCGGGAATGCCTGCCAGTGATGCGCTCAGCTTTAGACTCCCGGGGCACAGTACTGCACAGATACCCCGCAGGTTCCTTTGGTAGCCTACCCTTCCCTGTACATTACTGTTACCTACAGGACATAGCATTTTAAAGTAAGTGCATTTTTCCACTCTTGCATTTCTTAGTCTTCCATTGTCTAAACAGAAAATCTAAATTTTAGAAAGACATTACAATAACTCATAAACCCCATGCAATCTAAACCTAAAAACTTATGGGTATTTTCCACTTTCAGAAAACATCGTAAACAAGTTTTTAATGTCGTGCATCTTCACGGGAAACTTCAAACAGGTTGCATAGTATCTCTGTATGTGTGAGCAATTCCCAGTGAGGGGTCACAGTTGGTTCAAAACTTCAAACTAGAAATATGTCTCCTGGGTAAATGTGATTTTAGTTTCCATGACTTGCTAGCTCTTCTCTGTTTCAAAACAAAATTCTCAAATAACCTTGTTTTAAGGTCATTTTTCTCTTTATATAAATGTTAATAGTTCCCCACAGTTTCTAGAAATGTTGATCTATGTTTTGCTAGCCTTGATTATACCACAGATAGATACAGATAATAAGAATGTATATTTAATAAGATTTTGACAGTCGCTAAAATGCTTTCAAAGAGAAACCTGTATTTCTCATTCTTTGCCATAAGTACCTTGTAGTGTACTTGTTGGGACAAGGTGACTCACAGTAACAGAAAGGCTGTGGTCCCAGGGCACTTAGCTTTGTGATGAATCAGTCCAGGTCTGGGGCCAATTCTGAGTGTGAAAATTAGAAAGTTACCTAAACTCTCTACATTTTAGTTTTCTCATCTGCAGAATGAGGTGGAAGAATCTTCATAGCACCCTCACTAAAACTGAAGTACTGCATGTAATCAGGTTGGCACATGTTAAACAATCCAAGGAGGCACCTGTTCTATTGCTTTGTTTTTACAGAGTTCCAGAAAACAATGTGTGTGTAAGGATGATGGAAGAGCATCTGGTACCATGGTAACAAATGAAGCCATCTCCCACACCATAAAAATTAACACAGCCACAGTGAACAACAGAAAGGAAAAACACTTTAGAGTGAGTTAAGTTTTGCCTCCATGATCTAATTGTTTTCCTGAAGATCACATGCTATTCCCTCCAACAGCCTGTCCAAGAAATCCAGGCAGGACTCCTTAACTCTTGTTATCATTTAGTATTTCACAAAAAATGCTTACATCAAACTATTGCCTGCTATTGCTCTTGATTAAAGAGAAAAATAATTGAGGGGTGTCAGTCTGATTTGATACTTTTTTTTTTTTTTTTTGGTTTTTCGAGACAGGGTTTCTCTGTGGCTTTGGAGCCTGTCCTGGCACTAGCTCTTGTAGACCAGGCTGGTCTCGAACTCACAGAGATCCGCCTGCCTCTGCCTCCCGAGTGCTGGGATTAAAGGCGTGCGCCACCACCGCTTTCATCAATTGTTTGCTCTCCAGGGACCAATATTTCTCTGTCTTAGCATTCACGGTGATCTAGACAAAAGGACATGGGACAGAATTCTCCAAGAAGCACCTGATGAGAAAGGATGCTCCCAAAATGGCTGTAACTGATACTCAATACTCTTTTCATATGAGTGTTGATAACCTTCTGAACATAGTTGATAAATGGATGTGAATGCTATAATCAAACATAAACTGAGAAGCATATTGTATTAGTAGTCAAAAACAGATTGTTTGGGTGCCTGGATTATGTAAGATAGCATAGAGAGAAAACTCTCATTACTTTGATAGATAGAGAAATTAAAACAAAACACTAATGTGTGGTGATCTGTTTGAAATTATCAAACAAGAAAGAGATTTTTTTTTTAAATTTTCGAGACAGGGTTTCTCCGTAGGCTGGTCTCGAACTCACAGAGATCCGCCTGCCTCTGCCTCTCGAGTGCTGGGATTAAAGGTGCGCCACCACCATCTGGCAAGAAAGAGATTTTTTTTTTTTTTTTTTTTGGTTTTTCGAGACAGGGTTTCTCTGTGGCTTTGGAGCCTGTCCTGGAACTAGCTCTGTAGACCAGGCTGGTCTCGAATGCACAGAGATCCGCTTGCCTCTGCCTCCCTAGTGCTGAGATTAAAGGCGTGCGCCACCATCGCCCGGCAAGAAAGAGAATTTTTAGTAGACAAAAAAGATCTCACTTATTTCTAGAAATGTAGTTCTGTAAGATGATTTTGAGTATGTTTCTTATGTTCTATGAACAAAAATATTAGCTATATATTTTCTTATCTAGTCATTCCAATATATTCAGACAAGATCATTTATTTAATATAAAATGAATTCAAAAAGATATAAGATTTTTAAAAAGAAAATAAAACTTTGACATCTTGGCATGGCTCTTTCAGAGTCAACACAATCAAGAAAAACTGGTAAATAACAGCCATTAGCCATAGAAATGCCACCATTAACAACTTCAATTGCAGATATGGTACCTCATCAGGGACCAATGACAAGACCCAGACATGTTGCATTGACCTTAGTGAAACACTGAGATAATCCCAATGTTCCAAGAAGACCCAAAACAATAAAACCTATCTGTGAATTTGCAGGGTACGAGTCCCTACCATGGTGCATAAATCCATTGTCACAGAGTCCGACAGCAAATATCATTGCCTCTTCCCTGGTATGGCAATCACCCTGGTAATGAAAAAATAAATCACCGGACATGTTAATAGGCAACAGGAGGTTTTACAGTTTAGGGAACAATCCCATACATTACATAATTGTCCCTAGCCTTTTGCTTTGCGCTTGGGTACTCTAGCAAACTGGCTCTCATTTCTATTTTATTTCTGTTATCAACATTCTACTCTGGTGTTTCTTTATCCTTTGTCTAGATTGACATATTTATTCTGGACCATTCTAACATAAGCTGCTGTAGAATTCAGCTGTTCTACACAGGAATTTCATGTTCTAAAGGTTTACAGAGAGACTTTTTAATAATAAAAACTTTAATAATCAAAGCATAAACATTTTGTTGGGCTTTCAAGATCTCTCAGTCTTAGTTTTATTCATCTACAGCTTCACTTTCCAAAGTTTTGAACCTACCCCTTTTCCTTAGTTAGCCCAGTTTCCTACAGTTGCCTGAACTCAGCCCACCCCACCTTCACTAGTGTAATGCTGATACACACAGAGTCTTTTGCCTGTCTACAGAACACCAAGAGAAACTTGTACCTCTGACTGCGACAACTGTATCCCTGCTGTCCACCAAAGCAAACTGAATATGTACCTGCAAACAGGCATTGTATCTTCAACAATTCATGTGTTTGAAAGTTTTATGCATTCGTTTGAAAATCCATATTTATTCATTTCTAAATATCATACCAAGTCCAAGACACCACATGTCAATACTCTCAAAGGAAGAACATTTTACTGCCTTCCAACAATTTGGATCTTATGAAGGATATGGGAATTTATATAGTATCCTTATACAATTTAGTTAAGATTCTTAATTGGCCTGATTCTCTCAGGGAACCAGATGCACAGAAAAAAACAAGCCTGGCTGGAGGATCCATAAGGACTTCCGTGGAAGACGATGCTGAGAATTTTAATGATGATCTTAAGATGAGCCCAAACGACCAACAACTTCTCGATGGCAAGAAATATTCTGTACTTGTTTTATTTCAGTAGCTAAAGTATTAAGCTTATTCTGAAAGCTTTGGCTGTTTTGATTATTTAAATGTTATATTTCCCAGACTAATAAATCATCAAAAGGAAAAGTGTATAAATATAATCTGAAAATACTGTAGTGATCCTATACCTTTAAAAAATCCTTTTTGGTCTACTCATATCTGGAAGGCATTGGAGAAAGGTGCAAAACACTTGTTTGGGTGGGATGAAACAAGGAGTTGTTTAATTAAAAATACAAATGGTGCCTGCACATGACCCATAAGCAAATCATATGATGCTTTAGAAACATTTGATCATAGGCCACTATAATAAAAATATCAATCTGGAAGCTGAGAATGTATTCAGAAGAGAACAAAAGACATTGCATTTTCTAATACAGTATCAGTCATTACAGGCATCTACAGCATCCAATGATGCTTCAAAACAGCATAAGGACTGTGATACCACAGCCACACTAAAGATCCAATACAGCTGTCCAAGTCCAGTCAGGACAGACTGGTGTGCAGAATAAGTCTATCCGAGTCTTGGTGGAAATGGAGCCTTACTTTGTCTCTCTTTCCCCCTACAGTAAGCACTGTAGCTTGTGCCCTTATCATCCCATTGCTACGTCTTCCTCTCCCAAGGCAGCCTGTGATGCTCTACTTTGAAGCACAGCAATGAGAGCTCAGAATGTCTGCCTTAAATGTTACATTTCACCGTATCAGACTTATGAAGCTGCAGTGGCCGATGTAAGATGACATGATGTCCATCCTAGAACAAGATAAGCAGTTGAGACAACTCCAGCCTAGAAACAGACTGGCATGTCCAGCTCACCTCACTCAGTTTCAACAGAGCTGGCATCAGGTACTGATTGCTCGAGCTAACGTTCTGGGAGATTTCAACAGACACCACAGTGTAGTGATATTTCATTTGTATTTGAATAAATAAAGCTTGACTGAAGATCAGAGAGGACAGCTGCACTGATCAGCCTTACAGTCCAGGCAGGGGTGACACACACCTTTAATCCCAGTAGCCACACTAGTTTGCCATAGAAACAAGGGGGTAATGGCACATGCCTTTAATCTCAGGACTAGAGAGGAATATAAAATGGAAGGAGACAGCTCTCAAATACACTCTCATTCTGAGATTCCTGGAGACAGGATTGCCATTTCGGACTGAGGTAAAGGTAAGAGCCAGTAGCTGGGTGTTTTGCATTTCTGACCTTCAGGTTGAACCCCAATTTCTGTCTCTAGATTTCCTTTTCTTAATTTTGCCAGATGACAGTGACAAAAGTTATTTTATTTCAGCTTGCTCAGAACTTTCTGAAAGATAACCTATTTTTCTTTAATATTTACCCTTAGAAAATACAAATGTTTTCCCCTGTAAAGTTGGTGGCTGACTTTCTGGGTTAGAATGTAAATGCTGATTTGGCATTAGGTTTTGCTTCAGATGCATTTTCCTCGGTCTTCTCCCATACACCGGGTTGTATGAGTTTGTATTAATTCTTAAGCACTAGAATTCTAGGTGGATTCTCTTCCCAAACAGAAGACACGCCCAGCTGCACATATGACCAGTGCTTTAAACGTGTTAGAAAGAAATTATCACACTGGAAAGCCTGGACATGTGAGTCAGGGTATTATCAAATTCATTATTTGATTACTCTATGACATTAACTTCTCATGTAAAAGTTTATGGTCAGTGAAATACAAAAACAGGTGGCCTTGAAAAGTTTAGAAATTAACTCTAAAACAATAAAAATCGTGTGTATATATATATATATATATATAACTGAGTTTAAATATTTTAAAAGGTTGGCATTTTAAGATTAAATATCTAGTTTTATTACCTATGTATACAAGGAAAGTAAGTATATTTTTATATGAACAAAAGAATAAGGCTGCTTATGTAACTGACACAAATATGTGCAATGGTTACATTCAACCAAACCCCCTGCCCCAGGCAGCATGTGCGGTTCAAGGGAGCATCAGCATTTCTTAGTGCCTTGCCTTTGGTAAGCAGAATATAGCCAAGCATTTGTTAGTTGACCTATCATGTAAAAAAGTAAGTACGTTTGTATTTGAAAAACTTCTGTGACAGGTATGTTAATCTGTTCTACTTATAAGCAAATCACAAAACTTCTCAGCACCAACTGTCAGAGTCAAGATCTTGCGAAGCTGGGCAATAGTAACAGCACCACACTCTGCTCTTTGTAGTCACGAAAGCTTCTATTATCCAAGCCCAGCTGGGATCTAACAGCGAAGACGACATGGGGGAGTAGAATCATTAGAGAGGACTAGTGCACAGATACTTTGAAACAAATTAGTAGAAAAGGATACAAAACCACTTAGTGTCTGAACATAGTTATTATTCATCGATACTCAAATTATGCACGGAAGATTTGTTTGTGTTTTGATGAAACTCAGCTCATGTTAAAAATAGGAACATCTTAATTTTGAAAAGCAAGCCAGCATAAAGGCTATTCAAGAACCCAGGAATCAGATTCAAATCTTAACTCAGCTTTATACTTGCTGTAGGAATGTAGGCAGGGAATATCACAGTATGTCACCCGAAGGCAAGCACTAAATTCTTTAAAAATTCCCAATCCACACACTCAAAGTTAAATGGAAAAGAAGGAAGCATAGCAACACCTGTTTGCCTTCTTACCTGTGCAATTAACCAATCGATCAGTTTGTTAGCCATGACCACAGATTTGTAGGTCCTTAAATGGTAATCTTTATCTCTACAAAGGAAGAAGAAAGCAAGAACATCAAGCAAGGGACTGAGTGAGCACAGGTAAGCCTTTCCATTCAGTAACAATATACAGCAGGAAAATCTACCAATGAGCCTGCAGTCACCCAATGTATGTACAAATAAGGGAAGTTAACAAGGTGTATACGAGATAAAAATCTATCACAATACCAAAACAAGGCATTTCTTCTTTCATTCCTTTTTTTTTTTTTTGCAAACAAGATTATTACTGCTCTGATACTTGGTGGTGATTTACCTAGAAAAATGGCATCTAATTAATGGAGGACTAAAAAAATGAAATTTCTACCCCTAAATCATGGTTACTAAAACTATTCTCAAAGTGTGGAGAGTGGAGTAACAGCTTTTCGTGCCTCTACATTCTCCAAGAAGACAGGGCATATGCACTGTGCTTATTCACAGGCTTCCTCCAAAGCCTGCATGCCTGAAAGAGATTCAGGAAGCACCTACTACATAATCTGTCGAAGCAAAGCATGGAGCAATGAAATCACCTCCCCACATCCCCAGGGAATAGAGCAGCAGTATGTTACAAAATCCACACTCACTCTTCCCCAACTTTACATTGTGAAGTCTCCTGCTAAAGTAGACTACATTGATTCAGGAAAGAAGACACCCAGTTTTCCTGAAGTACCTGCTCACAATGTTTACACAGGGTAAGAGGGCATTCCATTATGCAGACATGGCAACTTCTGGAAACAATCTTTATCTATCTATTTATCTATCCATCTGTCTGTCTGTCTGTCTGTCTATCTATCTGTCTGTCTATCTGTCTGCCTATCATCTATCTATCTATCTATCTATCTATCTATCTTCTATCTCTGCATCACCTTATAACTGATATTAATAATGTGATATAAAAACACTACATGCAAACATTTGAATTCTATAGCCATTACTGAATATGTATAAAAAGTATATGAATTTGTTTAAAACTGGACCATACAATTGTTTTGAAAATGAGTTAGTTAATAAACCCAAAATATGTTTAGTAAGTCTAAGATAATTCTTAATTTTCAAATAAAAATATTGTCTTGGGGGAAATTCTATCAAAAGTAAATATAAAATATACATCCAATGTTCAATCATTCAAATATATATGTATAGTATACATATATATTATAAATATAAATATTTATAGCTGTGAACACTTAGAATAAATAGCTTTTCTGAATCACTTCTAGGTCACTTAACTACCATTTGTTAAGTATTAATAAACTATGGATTATTTCATTTTCAGTCTAAGATTGTGATATAAAATAATAGTAAGTTTTGAAAGTACAACCAAGGGGAAAGATACTGAACATATAGTGCCAAAAAATTTTAGACATATTTGAGATAAATACTTGAAATAATCCAAGTTCTAAGATGAAACTTAACCATTCCATTTATGACCCCCATAAGAAGCAGACTCACCTGACCACTGGGGTAAACAAACTGTGAAGTCGACAATACAGCCTTACGCCCTGTGTGAGACAAGCATGGGTCAGAGTGGATCACTCGGGAGACACACTAGTGAATTCTCAGAGTAACTAGTTAATTCTTTTCGAGTCTCCTGGAGTCTCAGCAAAATTAGAAGTCTATGCAAACATTAAAATGCATGATAAAAATAGGCATTGTCTCTGAAGAACAGGATAGAGCTGTACTGTGATTTTGTCATATATATATATATGACATATGTGAAGGTTTACTCAAAATATTTCTTAATATAAATAATAAGATACACTTTAGACAGCTATTTAACACAGCAATAAATCTAGAAAGTGTGGTAATTATATTTCAATATAAAAGTTTGCCAAAGGTACAATGAAAACTGATACTAAATTACTCGTTATGTCTTGGTTTTTAAATTCTATACAAATGTCTTGACCAAGGTTCCTCCACGAGAAAGCCAATGACTGGCACCTTCTGAGTGAGGTTCTACTTCCATTTAGAGGCAGGGAAGAAAATAAATGATAGAACGCTGGAATTCCAGAAATTTGATACAACAAAGACAGCTTGCATGATAACTTAAGAGTTCTCTCTATAGAAGACTGTTTCATGCCTCTCAGTGGCTTTTCTTCTTCCCCGAGTATGGCAACATGAGTCCCACTACAGACATGACTGAAGGTGACCTTACCTTTGAAATCATGTCCTGCATCTCACTCCTGGGGTAAAATGTGCCGTCGTCATAGCGGAATCTATACAGCGTCTGCTCTGGCTTGAACTGATGCTTGTCAGTAACTAGAAACATGGAAATATTACAGCAGAATAGTGGCAAGTTAAATCATTACAAAAAACAAGTTTACTGAATACATAATCACCATTTATAAAAAGCTACTGATTCACCAACAAATTAATGTCGATCCAATATTTTCAACAGTAAAATCTGTAAGGTTTTCTCCTTTACTACATTGAAACATTTCATATAATGATCTGAAGACCCGATTGAAGTTAATAATAATCAGGCCAGTGTGGTAATATTCTATAATCCTACAATTAAGGAGGCTGATGCAGGAGGATTGCTGAACCAAGGCCAGCCTAACCTACCTAGTGAGTTTGAAGCCACCCTGGGCTACAAAGTAAGTCAGCATGGACTACAGAGCAAGGCATTGATTGCCTCACAAAAAAAAAGTAAACTAACTTCAATTTAAAAATAGAAAAGAGTAGATACTTAGATAATAAGCAAGTTATTTGTTTATTCTATCCTCAATCCTAGAAGTGAATATTTGCTTGAATCTATTTTATCATATGGTGGTTGGGCCAAGACCACAGAAACACCAATCCAAGTGTCTTGTATTCAGACCCCCAGAGATGACTGAATATTTTCAATGTGGAACAGATTCCAAAATTTTATGTCCTTTATTACACTGAGAAGCACTTTTTTTAGCATGTCACTTGTTTCCTTTTTTCTTTCGTTCTTTTTTTCTCCCTCTTTCTCAATGAAAAATAAGAATGGCTAGCCTTCTGTGTCGTCTATAGGATAAATTTTTCATTTCTCAAAGCTCTAATAATCTGGACTGATGGTTTCTGTGGTGAACACTAACAAATGCTTAAGGAATCAATGCAAATCCTTCTCAAACTCTTCAAAAGAAAGGAAGGGAAGGAGAAATGGAGGAAAGAAGGGAGGGACAGGAAGGGAGGGAAGGAGGGAGGTGGAAAAAGAAAGAATAGTTCCAAACTCAGTTTATGAAGCCAGATAAGGATACCACCATGAAATAAAATCACAGTTTAATATCACTAATAAACAGAGCTGCAAAACTCAGCAGCGAAACACTACAAAGCTTTGAAAAAGGGTTCCTGGGAGAGGCTGTGCCTGCAGAGGCTGAGGGACTCAGTGATGTGGGGAGGATGGAATGTTGCAGGTCCAGAGTCTAATTACAGGTTAGTTTGAGACACTCCCTGCCTTAAATGGCCATTTCTTGCCTACCTCTGTGTGGGATCCTTGGAGTAACTGATAAAATCCTCTTGGAATGTATAAATAGACTTCCAGTCACACTAGACATCTGGTCTCTCTCTCTCTCTCTCTCTCTCTCTCTCTCTCTCTCTCTCTCTCCCTCTCTCTCCCTCTCTCTCCCTCTCTCTCCCTCTCTCTCTTCTGTCTTTTAAACAGATGGCTCATTCAACTTTACTTTGAGAATTGTGTTTTTGCAAAAGTACAGCTGGAAACACAGACTCAATAACTAGAATATTTAGCAGCCATCTCTTCTTTAAATGGAATTAATCTCTTAATGTGAAATTGCATAATTGGGTTTCTTGGCCCAAGTTTTGGAGAATTAGAGACATTGTTATTGGTTTCTGTTCATAAAAATGCTAGATTCCAAATGTGACTTTAGAGTCGATCAAATCCTGACTGCAGTATAATAAGCCTGGGCCCTTGAATTCAAACATTAACAAATGCAAAACTACGGAGACACAGCTCTCTGGGTTATATTTCTCAGCAAAAAGAATTAACCAGGCTATAAATACAATTGTTCAAAACAGATTTTAATCCTTCTAATTTAAATATTTGAAGAATTCTTGCATTTCAGATTTGAAAATAAATTTAACAAAAATGGATTTAGTATTTTCACTTCAAGACTCTGTTACTGGACCAGGAAAATAACTCAGTGGATAAAGACACCTGTTGAGAAGACCAAAACCCTGAGTTCAGTCCCCGGAACTCACAAGGTGGAAGGAGAGAACTAATTCCCAAAAGTTGTCACCTAACCTCCAAATGTGTGCCAAGCCATGTGGATACACAAAAATAACTAAATATGAAAACTCCTTTTAAAGAAACCATTTCAAATATGCATATATTTAGATCAAATTGACCTAATTTCTACCCTCCCCCTATATCACCTCGAAACTCCATGTGCTCTTTTGCTGAGGTTTTCAGGTTACCTCCTGAGTCCACTTAATGCTGCCTGTGTGTTCATAGACAGAGGAGCATCTACTGGAGCATAAGGAAGCCTTTCAGGGTTCAAATCCCCGAAGAGAACTGATTTGATCAGTACATATTATAAACATGACTTAAACATCACACTATATATCCCATAAATATATACAATTACTGTGTGTTGATTAAAATGTTTTATGAATTAAAGATACAATGTAATACACATATAAGAACACCCAAATGTATACTTGAGCTTGGTTAGAGGATATGAAAGACTAAAACCATCTGTATCAACATCTTCTCACTTCTACTTCATGTTGCTGTATGGTTTAAATATGAATTGTTCCTCACAGGCTCATTACTTGAATTCTTAGTCCCCAGATAGTAGGACTATTTGGAAGGTTCTGGAAGGGTTAGATAGAGTTCAAGAAAGCAGATTACTGGGAGGCAGATTCTTGAGGTTTTATTATCCCTGACTGTTTCTTGCCTGTCTTTCTCCCTCCTTCCTGGCTGGCCAAGAGACAAACACTTCTCCTCTGCCCTATGTTTCCATCACCATAATGTGCTACTCAAATGCAAGGGGCCAAATGACCATGTAACCCTCTGAATCCATGAGCTAAAGTAAAACCTTGCTTTAAATTGCTTATGGTAGTTGTTTTGGTCACAGCAAAAGGTAACTATTACAGCTGTCACCTGGGGCTTTCTATCACATCAGATAATGTGTATGATGCTTTAGATAATGTGTATTACTGAATCGAGTAGAAAGTGATATACAATATTGTTGCAATTTACAATAAAAGAATCCTGCACCAGCCCAGAATGGAGTATAATAAAAGTTTCTTTATTTTGGGGTAGACTCACAGAAAAAGCAGTGATAATCAGTCCTTTGTGAGAGCAAGGAACTGGAACCGAATCCAGCAGCCAAGGGGCCACACACACTTTTACATCTGCATATATAGTACATGTGACCACATCCAAAGTGGGCCAGTATCGTAAAAGCTATTGGCTGAAGGAGTTCCCATAGCATTATATGAAAGTCTCAGCCATTTGCTTAAAGTATGATACTTCTTTTATTCATTTAGCATGTAATTACTGAGTATCTAAACATGTTAGGCATAAAAAGCACAATATATATGGCTCATGTGTTAATGTTGTCTACGTCTTGAGTAGAAGCCAGGATAGTTTAAAGGAGACTAAGAGATAATTAATAACCAAAGAAACAAAATTACATTGAAATTTCAGGCAGTGACAACCACATGGAAATAATCCAATGTTTACAAACACTTTTGCACAAGCATGATTATGTGAGTTTAATCTCCATGCAGATGGACACAGGTGGACAGTTTGAACCAACTCCAGAAAGTTATCCTCTGGTCAGCACACAGCACAAGCACACATGTACAGGCACACATACTAATTATAAATTCAAAACTCAGGAAAATTTAAAATTCCAAAATTAATGTATTAAAATGACAGACTGGATGGAAGGGCTTCTAAAAGTCAGGGGCTCACAGAAAAGATGAGTCACGAAGGCAGGGAATTTTGTTCCTTTATTTCCTACAGTACTGCAATTTTAGCACCTAGAAATGGCCCCTACTTTTATGGGAAACTGATAAGCAACTGTTGAATGAGAGAAGCGAGAGTAAAGACCCTAAATAAGTGTTCCCTTTGAGTATGGGAAAATGTAGGCTAGGGTGGGCACGGTGTAGCCGGTCAGGCTGGTTAGGTGCCCACTTGGTGTAGGAATTGAACGTCCCACTATGCAGAGTGGTGCAGACCTTTGTGAAAGAGTTAAAACTTAGAAAACACTGGACTCGAGTCATGAGAATTCAGGAAAAGCAATGAAAATAGATGATACCTTCCTCTGCTGTCTGTTATAAAGAAAACTCAAGCAGAAGTGGGAACAAGAGAAGAAATAATGGAGATTCAAGGGGCAGGGATCCTGGGAAGGAGAGCTCTGTCTACGTAGAGGGCTGATGCCCAAACTCTAGAGGGTGGCACCAGTCACAGGGGGCCCAGCCAGAGTGATTGAAAAAATTCATGAGGATGTGCTTTGTTTGTGCCCTACTGTGGGTTAGGGAGGACATGACTGCAAAACTTCCTTGGTCAAATAGCCACAGTTTGGAATGGCTCGTCTTTTTCGCTGCACCCCACTTTTCACATTAGAGATCCTCATCACCAATCTCTCCTTGTTCTTGGTGTTGCAAGCCCAACTGACCACTCTCCAAGTGCCCTGCTGTAGTCTGATGCCTATGCCATCCCTAATTCTTCACCACTTCAGGCTCTTCTGAATGAAGAGCAGGCAGAGCAGAGAGCTCAGCAGAGTCCAATCTCTCCATCCATCTCATCCAAACACTGATTACATAAGGTCTTGCAGTTTCTCCAGCCTCTCAGGCGGGCCAACTCTCTTCATATCTGTGCACCCAGCTTCAAAGGATCCTTGTTCTGTTAGCCCCAGGTCAAGCTCAGCCTTCTGGCAGGCCTGTGTGCTGCAGCCTTTAACCTTTCAGACTCTACAGTGCTGCGGTAATGCTCCGAGATGGAGATCTAACCATGCCTTCATGTGAAGACACTCATCAGGTCCTGACCTTTAGTACACAGACAGTGGGTGCCCTGCTGATGCTAGGTGTCTTCCTACCACAAGTCCCTCACACGATGCTGTTTCATGGAACCCATGGTGCCCTGATGTGAGAGCCTATTGCAGTTCCCCAAGTGGCCACCATGAAAGATTTTCCTACTCTAATAGAGTGCCATCATTTCCTCAGAAGGGATGCCCCTTCTGCTGTTTTAAGTTCTATTCATTCTGAAATGCCCATCATTAATGCTACCACGCCCATCAAGTAGTCCCACACACTCTAGTCAGAATTAGGCTCTCTCTTACCACAATCTGGTACTTACTAGTATTCTGGCTTTTTTTTTTTTTTTTTTTTTTTTTTTTGGTTTTTCGAGACAGGGTTTCTCTGTGGCTTTGGAGCCTGTCCTGGAACTAGCTCTTGTAGACCAGGCTGGTCTCGAACTCACAGAGATCCGCCTGCCTCTGCCTCCCGAGTGCTGGGATTAAAGGCGTGTGCCACCACCGCCTGGCTTTTGCATGTGCAGTGCCTGTATGTTTTAAAGAATGGCAACTGTATAACCTTAAACTCACGATACACCGTTCTTTACACGTTGGAAGCACTAAAAAAATAAGCATTCTTTGAAATGAAAAATTGTACATGAAACAGATGTGGGATTTAAACACAGGTCATGGGTGAACAGACAAAGAAAATAAATTAATGAAATAATCACCATGGTGGATGATCCCATTTTCTAACAATGCTTGTCCCAGGTGAACACCTTCTTCAGGCCTGTGAATCTCCCCAATTTCCAGCAGCCATGACACAAATTCACTGCAAGGGAAAGACAATGGAACTGATAAAAACTGTGTCTTCCTGGGAAGTCTGTCTGGTCCACATATCACAAAGCAGCTATGAAAGGAATCTTAAATACACAGCACCATTTTCAAGACATTCAGCAGGTTTCTCCCCTTTCCCCACAGGCACAGAGTTCACAACCACAGGAATCCTACGGGCTGAGCCTCTCAGACACTGCACTCACTAAATAACGGTACTTGGGGATGCCCCTCTTTCCCAAAGACATCATTCAAATATGGATTTAATTAAAAGATGATGCCCTCCAAAAACAAATAGTCATGGGTATCACTGAGATAAATATAAAATTAATACAGACAATTTGAAACTAAAATATTCTCATATTTATACTTAATAACTATAACACTTTAACATTTACATAAACAAATAAATATGTTTTAGAATTATTTTTCTTCTTTATATTCAGGCCAGAGAATTGGAACTATGGTCACACACCAAACACATTATTTTCCATTTATCCCACAGGTGACAAACACCTTATATCAAACAATCAAGGGGCACAAAATTCTCCAAGTAGGTTGTTTACTTTAAGAAACACATGTTAAGGAAGGAAAGTTGATAGGGGGCTTTCTCATTTTTTTTTATTAAATAAGAGTCATACAAAAGGAAGACATACATAAGAGAAAGAACAAAAGAAATAAGATAATTTAAGACAATAAAAGAGAAAGGGTTTAAGAATGTAAAATGTCATGTTACAAATGAGAACATCAGTGTCATGGTGCTGCTACAGGATTGGTTGGGACGAGGTACGTCAGCACAGGGTTTGATACATAATGAACTCTTAGAAGGCCAGTGGATCGAACTGGTTCATAGAAAACCAAAACATAATTCTTCATTCTGATTTCCCCTACTTCATTAAATGCCTAACTTAGATGAGAAAAGGAGCTGATTTAAGCACGGATGTGAAAAAGGTGATTTTTTTTAACATGGGAGTGACATCAGAAAGGAAATTCACAAGAGGCTTTGTCAATAAAGAAAAGATGAGCTATAACTAAGCTGCATGCCAATAAAAACTGCTGAGAAGCCCAAATTTGCAGCAACTCTCTTGCAAATAGACGTATCACCATGGAGAACCCTAAAGTTACACCCATGGAATTATCGCAAGAGATGCCATGCTTGTGGTGCCTGATGGATCTTCTATGTATGTCAGATCCACTTTCCTCCATACTAGCTATCACCCAAAGGGTGTTGATGGAGCACAGGTACAGAGCTTCTGTAATATCTTTAGGCAACGGTGGCCCCCTGCCACCCAAGAAGACGCTCTCTCTTAATAAGAGAGCCAGTTCTGGCCTTCTTTGTTGTGGGATATTTGAGAGGAAGCAAGAGAAGCAAGATGGAAGAAAGGTAACACCACATGGCAGAATGTGGATTAATATAAATGGGTTAATTTAAGTTATAAAAGATAATTGAGACAAGCCTAAAGGCCAAGCTTTCATAATTAATAAGATCTCGTGTCATTATTTGAGGGCTGGTGATTCGAAAATAGTCTAACAGGAAAACTTACTTCACTTCAGCCTGAAGTTTCCTTGTCTACGGTTCAGATGTGGTCATATACTATCTCCTGGTAGCTAGTTACAGGATATCGTGGGGATCCAACTCGATGGATCAAAGGGATATAGAAACCAAACTGTCCCAAACCATTGTATTAACCAATGGAAGTGTCTGGAGCTGAACAAAGATAGTTGATCACAGTCTGATCTTCACTATAACTCCAGGGAACTGCGGACCGACTTCAGTATTCTTTAACTAGATGGATGTGTCAAGCTCCTTAATCCACAGTTTTGGCTTCTTTAAATAACTACAGAAGCATTAAATTCCTAAGTATGGATTACTGGATTCAAAACTATTCACAGAAAGAAGCAAGACTAGAGCCTGGCCTACGAAGACCCAGCTGAAGCAATTACCCTTCCCATTCAAAGAGCCTCTGGTACCCAAACAGCACACAGTCTCAGGTTCTAGACCCCTCACATGACAATCTGTTAGACTCTTTACCTATCCCCCTTTTCTCTGACTCCAGCTGTATGAATTCTGGCTAAGCAGAAGTTAGACTGTCTTCTCTCTACCCTCCAATATCCCTTCACTTTATGGATTCCTGTCCAATGCTAGTTCTCAGATCCTGCGGAGTGCCACATCAAGTCCATCATCCTGGCCCCAACAGGCATACCACCTGCCTGACACTCGTTGCCCAAACACAAGCACTAATTCCCCCTGATAACAAGGCTATCAGCAATTGTGGGGGTCAATGATGACGAATGGATGGCTCAAGGGGCTATCAGTGACCCTGCATCATTGACCGTTACCTCACATCTCTCTGTCCAGAAAATGCCAAATATGAGTAAGGATTCAAAACTGCTAAGGATAACATTATTAAAACACAAATCACATGAAATAGACCGTACACCAGGAGACTAAGCTTACCTCCCAAGGAAGCACTTGGGGAACGTAGTCAGTTTTCTTTTTCTGTCTTTGATCAGATTTCCCTGTTGGCACATCATTTTATACAATTTCTCACCCTGCTCAGAGATCATTACCCAGGTGTCTTGCTCCATGCCCAATTTTAAGCCTATCGAAAATGAAATAATAAACATCACGTTAACAGAGAGCTTTCATCTCTTCGCTTATACCCTCATTAATCCAGCTCTTACTGCCATATTTACCATCAGCTAGATGCACAGTGGTTCTAATGCTGCAACCCTTTAATATAGTTCCTCATGTTGTGGTGAACCCCCAACCATAAAATGATTTTTGTTATTGCTTCATAAATGTAATTTTTCTACTGTTATAAACGGTAATGCAAATATCTGTGTTTTCTGATGGTCTTAGGTGACCCCTGTGCAAGGCTTATTCGACTCCCAAAGGGTTGCCAGCCACAGGTTGATAACCACTGAATAGATGGTGTAGGTTTGAGCTCTATAGACGTGAGATCAGTTTGTAAGAAATTCAGAGCATCCTAGTGAGACTGGCCAGGCTATATTGCAGTGTGTGAGGCATCCCTGCAAGGATGTGCCCCAAGGACACATGGTTTTGCCAATGGAGGAAGGGCAAATGAGATTTGCTTAACTATGCTTACGGTCCGTCCTGGAGGGGACTCCCGCTTTCTGCAGTGGGAGAGGTTCATTGAGCGCATGTCACCTCTGTCAGAGAAATGCTATAAAATTGTTCACAAGAAGACAGTGTTTAAATGCAACATTGTGAATCCTTATTTCTTTTTTTAATTTATTTATTTATTTATTTATTTTGTGAATCCTTATTTCTAAGAAAGAATCTTACAAAAGCTACTGAAACTGAACAATCCAAAGCATAGGGTCCTGAGGTTTAGATGAGACTACAGGTGTTTTGTGGGGTGTAGCAGTGTCTTGGTAAAGCTAAATCACTTAGTTCCTCGGGTACTAGGGAGACAGCAATGCATTTTATGAAATAAGATGTTTATGAAGTTTTATGTGAAAAGAGCAGGTATTATGGGAAAGAAAGTTCTGTCACTTTGTAGGTCGCCTAGAGGGCAGGGTCTGGAACAGAGCAGTGGTTACTTACAGCTATGACAGAGAGGGGAATCGGGATGCCTTCCAGGTTCCAAAAGGAAAGGGAAGCGGAGACACTTTTCAGGCAAACCGCCAAGTAGAAAGAAGCCCGCTGAACCCTGACAATGTCAAGGGAAGTCTGGGGGTCAGCACGGCAGGTGAGTAGGAGATGAAGAGAGAAGACAAAGCCGGGCACAAAGAAGCACACAAGTAAAGGACAGAAGTCCCAGACACGAGGGTGGATAAGCTGGGCAAAACATATAGGTCAAGGAAGCCAGAATGAAAGCTAAAATCCTGCAACTATTCACAGCCAGTGGATGGGGCAGCGGGAACAGAAGTGTTTGAATTGCATTTTAGTCATCAAACCAGAAAATTTGATACTAAAATTCAGTGAATTTTACAACTTATGCACTATTAACATTTATCAGTAAAAACTGAACAATTAGATAAGGATAGAGCCTGTTAAAGCAAATATCATCAAAGATTTTATAGCACATGGATATTTTTTGTTTTCAATATTTTAAGCTTGGACAGGTCATAGCCATTTGGGGTAAGTAGGGGTCAACCTGAGGGAAAGCTGTTTTCCTAAATGGTGTTCACAAAGCACAAGAGCTCCCCCTTTCTGCACCCACCTTTCCGGCGTTCTCTTTCTTTCAAAATAGCTTCAAACCATTCATGCTTTTCTTCAGCGCTTTTCGCCATGCACACAAACCATTTATTTTTTGCTGTGTTATGTATCTTCCACCCATTCATAACAATGTGCCCACTGCTGTGAAAATCCGCTGCAAAGAAGTCAAAAGCAATAAAAGAGCAGTTTGTATCACATCAGCATGACCATTCAACTCGTGAGAACACCAAAGCCAGGAAATTAAAAATATAGTGTGGATATATACACAATACTCATATACTATACAATGAAAATTAGGGAAATAGTTTGGTATAGTTAGTGCTCATTAATGGAACATACATACCTGACTCACAGGGCTGATATATTACATGTAATTAAATACTAGAAGTTAAAATTCATTTTAACCATGTCCAAATATATTAGTAAATTTTTCAAAGTAATAAAATAAGAAACGTTTAAGCATTTTTCCATAATCAAACAATCAAGATATTAAGTTAACCTTATCTTTCTAATTCTGCCTGAAAATATATCTATGTTTCAGAATAAAGAAAGTCTTACTGAACAGACCAATTTCTATTTTTTTTTTTTAATGAATGTTGCATGGAGATAAAGTCAGTGAACAGAATGTGTATATACAAGGAAGACACAACAAACAGAAACATATGCCTGCCAGTCTGTTGCTGCTGCGCCAGAATGGGATGTACTCTTTGAACCCACACCATTCCACACAATAAAAGCAGGGAGACACAGTGACATAATAGGTGCTTACTATCCAGTCACTGAACCAAGTGAAGATTCCAGAAAGGAGAAATAGATGGCAGCAGCCTGACTCAACATCAGCACCAACCAAAGTGACACCATTTGTCTCCCTGCACATCCTAGGCAACAACAGCAGGTACACTGGACCAGCCACACATGAGAGAGGGTTTAGGGAACACCCAAGTGGCACCTGGCTTGGCATCTCTTCGCCAAAGCCACCTATTGTATTGTTTTGAGAGGAAGTAGATGTTTTTGATGGCCATTTCTTTCTCATTAATGAAAAACAACCCCATTATCTTCTGTTGAGTGACTGATCCCCAAGATGTATTCTCACCCTGGTCACATCTACATCAGCCAAATTAGATCAAATATTGGTCTGCATTTTAGATATGTATAGTAAGCCTAGAGAAAGCAAGTTTTCATCATACAGAATCTTAATATTTTGGCTTTTTTTTTCTATGTGTTTGCTTTTCAAGACAGGGTTTCTCTGTATAGCCCTGGATATCCTGGAATTCACTCTGTAGACCAGGCTTGAATTCACAGAGATATCCTTGCCTCTGCCTTCTGAGCACTGGGATTAAAGGTGTGCACCACTACTGCCTGGCTCAGAATCTCAAATTTTTAAAATAAGCTTTTGGGTTTTCTTATTTTTACATACCTATGTTCATATTCAATTAAAAATAGCAGAACCTCAAAATCCATGGAAGATTATGGATTAACTTTTATTAGTTATGGATTAATTTTTATAATCAAGAGACTATAAAAATGACTTTATAACTATGCTACACTTTTTACTGAAAATTTTTAATGAAATAGTGAAAATAAAACCAAAGAAATCTTTTTCTATTAAAAGAATTTGCAACTCCTTCTTGATACTTGTCACCTGACAAGGTCCTTACACATGACCCTTGCTCTGTTGCTTAAGAGACCCCACATTCCCACCTACATTATCTCCCCTATAATCACACTCCAGAGTACGACATTGTCAAAGGGCATGTTAGGTCAACATGAGAAATACTGGGTTTATTTTAAAACAAGCACAGCATATTTTTCTCACAGACAATAGTAAAATCACTTAATACTCTGCTTCTCAAGCCGGAAAGAATCAATCTGCCCAAGTAGCACAACAATGGCTGTACAAGTAGTGTTTGGAAAAATCAGATTGTACCAAAAGACTTTAAACAAATTAGCTTGTGTGAGCAGGCAAGCACACATCATGGATGTTTGAGTGCCTGCTAAGACCAGAAGAGGAAGCTAGATGGATCCCCTGAACCTGTACTTAACACAGTTATAACTGGAGTTATAGTTACAGCATGCATGTTGGGAACCCAACTTGAGTTCTCCTGAAGAGTAGCAAGTGATCTTAACGGCTGAACCATCTCTCTAGCTTCATGTCATGTGATTTTAAATGGAAGAATATTGATACTCCATTTAAAGTTCAGATGAGAATTGTTTTCTATTGTGTTTTTAATGTAGCACTTGTAATTTTAAACTTACATGTAGTTCTTACATATGTGTATATATACACACATAAGGAGCCTCAAACTGAGTACACGTATTTCATAATACAATTAGTATGTATTTTACAAAATAAGCAGTTGCTTCTCATTTTCTATAAAATATAATACTATGTAAGTAGCTATACAACCACAGCAAATTGTTCAAAATATTCACTGTAATAAACTTATCCATAAAGATCATTCTCACTAAGACCAAGGAAAAGGTCAATAGTGCTGTTTCCTTAGTGAGTTTTGTTTGGTTTTGATTTGTTCTGTTGCTAAAGACCCAACCCAAGGCCTCTTTAATGCTAAGTGTGCACTCTGTCACTGAGATATACTCTTAGGCTCTTTTTCCTATTTAATAATTAAAAATATCATCAAATGAAATAACAATTGGGTGATTAACCCAGAATTTAATATGCTTCAATGGACCTGAACTAATTTTTGAAGATGTCCAAAAGAGAATGGAATTTAAACTCCTACTCATTAAATGAAGAATGTTCAAGTTCAAAAATTCACGCTATCTAATTACTTATAAAACCAGAAATGTTCAAGGGCCAAACCCAAACCAGCCATGAATGACTTTGAAGCCATGTGAGCAGAGAATTCCTTCCATTGACTCAGCACAACTCCACTGAAGGGGATGGAGTTCTTACAAACTTAGCCATAACAAACCTCAGTGAACACAGTGGTCATCATTTTTATTTCACTTTTATTTCAGCAAGCTGGAAAATATCCAAAAATTGTACACACAAGCTAGGAAATGGGCGAATCACCAAAGTGTTTGTCCAAAATATCAAATACTAATAATGATATCTCCATAAGACATTCAATGCTCACTCTGATGATCAACAGTGAACGCCTCAATCCTAAGGAAAAAATTTAAAACCACTACCCATTCATAGGAATACTTAACATGAAGAAAATTAGTTTTGAAACAAATCTTTGATTCTATCAAATAATGCAAGAAAAAATTCTGACATCTAACACAACGCAGGATATTACTTAGAACAACAACAAAAAAAAAGAGACTCAAATATCCATTTAAAACTATAACACAAATTGCTCATCTCTTAACTCTTTGAATACTCAAATTTTTAAATAACATAAAAAATTAAGTATATCAAAAAAGATTATGCATTTGCAGTCTAGTTAACATTGTAAATCTGTTACGTTTTTTATTAGGAATGTATTCAGGGCACTGAGATGGCTCAGAAGGTGTAAAGTGTTTGCTGTACAGTCCTCACTTCCTGAGCTCAATCTCCAGAACTGACAGAGAGAGAAGCTGACTTCTGAAGGCTGGTATCTAACGCCACATGCATGCCCTACTCACAGGCGCATCATACACATGGAATAGTAATAATATTCATAATAACAACAATAATCTGTATTCAAAAGCAAAGCTTAATATTACAGTAATATACTCAATACCTTAAGATGGTTCTAAATATTTATGTAGAAATAATGGTTGCAAAAATCTCTATTTTATTTATTTTTATTTTTTAATTGATTTTATTAGCAATACATTTTTCTCTGCTCCCCTCCTTCCTCTCCCCTCCCTTTCTATCCTCTCCCACGGTCCCCATGCTCCCAATTTCCTCAGGAGATCTTGTCTTTTTCTACTCCTCATGGAGATCCATGTGTATTTCTCATAGGGTCCTCTTTGTTGTCTAGGTTCTCTGGGATTGTGGATTGTAGGCTGGTTTTCTTTGCTTTATGTCTAAAAGCCACTTATGAGTGAGTACACATGATGTTTACCCACTCCCCACCCGGGGAGGTAGTGACGGAAAATAACATTACAGGACTCTTTCAAGGCCCTGCAGTTGGAATGAGTGCACTTTAAAAGTCTCTATTTTAAAATGATTGGACTTTTTAAAAAAAATCTGAGACAAAACAGAGGAGTAATGCACTACTTGCCCATCCTACCTGGGGAACTAGGTCTGACACCCACCACAGCACAAAGCAAAACAAAACAAATAGAAAAGAATCCTACGACTAAAAATTGCCAGTCTTATCACATTCAGATTTGATCACTATACTAAAACCTGTTGTTTGCCCATTGAACTAGAAATCACACTTTTAAAAAGTCAACAGCCTTCATTCATTCTTTCTGCCAAACCACACAAATATACCAGTTTGTAAGAGAGATTTCAAATGTACTATGAAAATTAATCCCTGGAATCTCAGTCATATTCCTACTATTGCTTTTAACATTGTTATCTAATAACATCATAAACAAACTAACAGCCCTAGCAGTAATCCTCTAGAAGGAACTAAACTAAAGCAACTGAAATGAACACTGAAATCCAGAGAATGGGTGAAGGGCAATCTGGCCTCAGACCAAACTACTGACATCCCCACTCAACATGGAAAATAATGTGCAAGACAATTATTCAAACGTTTGCACTTTGGAAGGACATACTATCAACTCTTCTATGCTGTAGTATAACCATAATAGAATACAAGTCATTAAATATTATAAACAATTTATCATAGTTATTTCTCAAGTGGTTGGGAACTTAGTTCAGCAGCAGGGCTCTGCCTGACAAGTGAAAGGCCCTGGGCTTAGGAGAATAATTTAGGAGTTATATTTTGCATGTCAGTCAAAAGCTAAGTTAGTCTTACACCAAACACAATTATATCTTCTGCAAGTTTTGATTCAAGTCAGTGTAATTAGGTGTCTGAGAGCTTCTGCATTTTCTAGAGAGCACTTTGTCTACACCTTGTATATAACAATCCGCAATGTGACTAGAATTCAAGTAAAATAAAATGTTTTCCCACTTAATTTTCCATCAGAAATTCCAGGCATGCTCAAAACTTTATCTCCACCCCTTCCATTTTGATCTAGATAAAGTATAGTTGTTGAGTTGGTGTGGATGACTGCAGATAAGCCTGATAATATTTTCCATTCCTCATCTTACCCAGTGTCCTCACACGGAAAGTACTTGGCGGAGGACACGCTCAGTTTGGCCCTGATTTTCGGGAACATAGGGTCTCATTTAAAATCTTAGCTCATTGAAAGGAAATGAAAGGAATTACCAAGAAAATAAAAGAAGAAGAGGAAAGTTGATGTAACAACTCGAATGGCTTGTGGAAAGAAAAAACACCTCTAAAACTCAATCTCACTGCACAGCTGTTTCAAGGCTCCGGATTCTTCCACTTCCCTGTCAGCTTCCCAGGACATGGATGGCAAAGACTCATAAAATGAAGCATAGACCCTGCTCCAAACCAAACATCCGAATATGCCACAATGACTTAGTTCTCAACTCTGGCTTCATGTCTTATCTTCTGAAATATTGATGGCATTTATTGCTTTCTCAAGAAAAACTCTACTTTGGAATTCCTCAGCCAAGGAGAGGATGCATGCCTGCATTTCACCTATCTCCATCCTCAGCATGTTGCTACACCCAACGAGACACTGCTAAGCGCTGATGCACTGCAGTCAGAATTCTACCTCACAGGGAGTTCACCAAGTGCACTTACCTGTGCCATCATCCACATTTTCCACTTCCATCACCTCAGTATTGATCCGACCTCGAAAAATGTACCGATGTCCATCTGTGGATGCCTTGCTATTCTTCAGACGTCTGAAACAAATGAAACCACAAAGCTTTTGTTATTAAATTTAATGCAAGATGGTATATTTTAAAAATTCTTTGAAAAACGTCTCCAATTGGTCAATATCATAAAAAGTTGAAGCAGCTGATTTTACTCAATCTTCGCATTCACAGTGGTGCTAGTGAGTTGCTATGCAGGCTAGGAGGAGGGAGATTTGTGAAGCAGGATCTCATATATCCTAAGCAAACCTAAAATAAGCTATATAGTAGAAGATGACTTCTGATCCTCCTGCTTCCCTTCCCAAATGCTAAGATGACAGATGTGTATGGCCATAGCCTGTTTCTTGATTCTGGGGATCTAACCCAGGCTTCCTGCTTGCTATACAATTACTCCACCAAGTGAGCTACATCTTCATCCCCGTATATATGAATTTAGACAGACAGACAGAGAGATAGAGCAAGCTTTAGACTAAAGACTGTAAAGCAGCAGAGGTATGATTACACACATTTCCTCAACATAAGACTTGAACACTGTCAAACCCAACTGACAGATGCTGAAAGTAAATGAATTTAATGCCACACTTGAGTTTGAGAACTCAAAAATCACATCCTTGATTCTCAATTTTAGGTAACTGAGAATTTCCAGTTTTTCAGGACCTGGCAAGGAAACTCAATTAGTTCTTCTGATTCCTCTTCAGAGAAACTAGCCTGCTGGAAGCTCATAAGTCAAGCAATACTCAGCTGCAAGACTATGTGTCCTGAGGGCTGGAGATGACTCATCGTTAAGACAGTCTGCTGCTCTGCAGAAGACCTGCTTTCAATTCCCAGGGCCTGTGTGGTTCTTCACAACCTCTGTCATCCCAGCTTCAATCTGGCACCCTCTTCTGGCCTCACCAGGCACTAGGCACACACACAGTGTACATACATCCAGATAAAACACTTAGACACATAAAAAGAAATAACTCTTTAAAAACATGGCTTTTGTATTATTTTTATGATAGCATCATGGTATAGATGGGGTTTTTTTTGTTTTTTTTTTTTGTTTTGTTTTTTGTTTTTTTTTTTTGTTCTTTTGAGACAGGGTTTCTCTGTAGCTTTGGTGCCCGTCCCGGAACTAGCTCTTGTAGACCAGGCTGCCCTCGAACTCCCAGAGATCCACCTGCCTCTGCCTCCCGAGTGCTGGGATTAAAAGCATGCGCCACCACTGCCCGGCCATGGTATAGATGTTTAACAAGTCCTTTACCACATTTGCAATACTTCTAAAAGTATCATTTACTTTTATAATAATCTACATCTTTAAACTGAAAAATACCTAAAAAAGTAAGAGCTTCACCCAGATCTACAGATGAACTTGTAACAGGGAATTCCAGTTACATGTTAGGACAATCAAGCAGGGGAAAGTTGTTTTTCTTCTAAGCAGTAAAGAATCTCCAAAAATATTCAAAATTAAAAATCACTCAAGTCAATCAACAGACTTTAATTGGCATAGCTTTTAATCTGACTCAAGAATGGAAGTCTGGCTGGAATTTGATCCTTGTCATCCTGTGCTAGAACAGCTAGCCATTTCTGTCCACTAATGCCTTCCCGTCTCCTCTCCTCTAAGGCCTGACCTTCCCTGAGGGAGCAGGAGGACATGGAAGCTGTCTCCATATTCCTCCCCCTCCCATGCCTCCTTCCGTGGAAAGCACAGCACAGCTGGCTTTTCTTTCCTAACCCCCATCTGCAGTCAGCAGTCTTTCATGACCGCTAAAACTGACTATGAATTCATCTGACCAGAGAGCCTGTAGCCCCTAACCAGCACCATTCCACACTCCTCGTGTCCACTTGGACAGCAATCTCTAAATGTGCTCTGCTACAATTCCTTTATAAATCCCATTAATCAGAAATTCGGGCCAGAGAACCTAAGAAAATCTTAATAATAGAATGTCAGACATTCCTATACATATTTGGTACATATTATACATTTACTACATATATTTTCTAAGCAATAAATATTTAATTGTGTAAAAGTTCCCCTTTGTTTAATTAACAATTATAATAAAAAATTCTATCATTTCATTTGTATTTTTATGTTATGTATATTAATATATATAATTATGTTATATATACAGGTGATTGTATGTTTTACAAGACAGAAAACAGGACCATGATATCATGAAAGAACATTGGAAACTGGTATCCTTTCAAACCTATAACATGTAAATGGCTTAATATAATTGAAGAGAGTTTTGCTCATAGATAAAACAATTGTGGCTACTCACACATACACTAACATAAAGCACATGCACGGCATGCATACACATTCACAACATATACACATAACACAAACTCACATTCACATAAATACACAGATAGCACACACACTTAGCCTAGACATACAGACACAACAAGTATAATCACATAATACACATTTACATAACACATTCACAAGCACAAACATACACAAAGACACATTCTCTTATACACACACAGAAAGACTACATATGAAATACACACAAAGGAATTATCCATCATTGGCTCCTATTTTTAAAGCTATTAATTTTCTTTATGTACCGCTTTGAATTTTGAACAGGTTTTATATCTTGCATGGTGACATTGATTTATAATATGTAAATCTTATAAGTAGCTGAAATTGGGACATCTTTAATTTCTGAAGAAAATGACCCTACATGAAAATTCAGACCAATTTTGTCCTGAGTGTTGGAACTGCACCTTTGTATACGTTCATTCCATCATTACTGTTGTCTATGTGTTTTACGCTACAAGAACTAATGTACAGTAGCAAAAAGCTGCAAACGATGCTAAAGTCCAGTGATAGGAAAAGATGTAACAAACTGTGATTAACTGAATAGGATAGAATCAACCAATAGGATGCTGTGAAGCAGTTAATAAATGAATAAACGATTGCTGTATGGAACTGAATATACATTTAAGAAACTAATGACCAGAAAAGATAAATAGAAATATCTAAATAAACTTTGACACTATCTTTGAAAGTTACCAAGTGAAACTACGCACAATCTTATTCATTGGCGGTACATGCTATACCGTATATCATTTTTACCCTATTCTTTACTAACATTTATAGCACTAAAAGAATCCTGAGAGGAGATGGTTAATTTAACACATGACTTTCCAAAGAAGGCGAGGGGAGAACTGAAATGAATGCACCGAATCTCTGGTTCTCATGATTACAATATTATGGGACTTGAAGGAGGCTCGGGTTGCTCTGCTCTCAAAGTAGCCCTAGACCTCAAAGGCCTATGCTAAGGTGAAGCCTGTAAAGGGACTTGGATGTTCCTGGTTAAAGGAATAGACAGTTCATGTGTAGGCTTCTCTAATTTTGGAGTAAAGAGAACATCTGTCTAGTTGAGTGGTTGTCAATCTTCCTAATGCTGCAACCCTTTGATACAGTTCCTTATATTGTGGTGACCCCCAACCTAAAATTATTTTATTGCTACTTTATAATTATAATCTTTCTACTAGTAGGAATCATGGTGTAAATGCATGTAATCTGACACGCAGGATATCTGGTAAACGACCCCCAAAGGGCCGAGACCCACAGATTGAGAAACGCCGATCTGCTTGTCTCTATTGGTAGCCACTGTGCAGTCCACGCTGCACATTCGTTAAGGATATCTGCTTTACACATAGCAGGGTTTTACCCCAATAAAACGTCTCAGTTGATTTCTACATGACTGTAAGACCACAGAACATAAGCATTTTCTACACTGACATTCATTTTGCCCAAGCTCTGGATATGATGACCACATATATAAACTTTCAGGTTGGGATGACTAAAATGGAGGCTCAAATGTTCTAACTGTTGGTGCTACGAGCTCCACCTACAGGCATGGTGCTGATGGCTCAAGAGTAACAGGGAAGGGAATGTGGGCCCAAAGTTCTCAGTATGCCATCCTTATGAATTTTGAAAAAAATGATGAGAGGAGACCGGAAAGGGATGGAAGCTAAAGCTGTGATGAAGTGAGCTGTGAGCGGTGAAGAGGGAAGATGGATAAACTGAATCTCACATTGCTGAGACTCCTGCAGATACGGGAGGAAATGGCTCAGAAGCAGAATTAGGCCAGAGAGAAACACACCAGCATCTCCCACAGATAGGCCTCTCCTTGAGAGAGCTGTGGGGGAGTGAACAAGGTGTGCATACCCAGGTTAGGACATATCGAGCAGGCAGAGAGAGCAGACAAGGGAAGCTGGGGTGAAATGGGTTATAGGCAGGATGAGTTCTGGGATTCCTGCACGGATGAGGAGCCTGTGAGATGGAAGAAAGTATTTCCAGAGTGTGACTTTATTTTTACATGCTTACCTGTGTTTTCTTTTACAGTACACCAACAGATTATCAAACAGAAAAAACACCCGTTCTTGAATATTTCCAGAAGAAATTTTCATTAAGACTCCCCACATCAGCATCTCTGTGCAGGTGTCGGTAATGTTGGATCCCTGGGTGAGCAAAAGAAAAGATGTATTGTCTGATTACCTGATTTCTATAGTCTTTGTAGTGCTGGGATCAATGAAGCGCAGCAGAAAGCCAGGCAAGAACACTGTGCCACAACTGAAGCCCTGATGGGATGTTTGTAGGCAATTATTTGCTTCTAAATTTCACTTGTTTTTATTAACGTGCAATGTGCACATAGGACATCAGACGAGTTATACTGAATGGCATCTCCCTCCCATCAGTCCTCAGTCAGTCTACAGAGAGACTCTGGGTCTACCTAAGACAACTGAAGCTATAACAACAGACACATTAAAACCAAAGCCGGGGAAACCCAGGAGGCCTAAGCCCTACACAAAGAACTATTGACAACTAAAAAGCGCTGGGGTGTGGGGTGGGAAATAGTCTTCCCTAGTTAAGAGCACACTAATTGGTCATCCAATATCAAACATTCAGCCCTGAACACTCAGGTGTAACAGGGGAAGAAAACACACACACACACACACACACACACACACACACACACGAATGCAATAACCACAATTAAAAAAAAAAGGAGTAGGCCATGAACTTCAAAGACAACAAGGAGGGGTATATGAGAGGATTTGGAGCCAGGAAAGGGAAGGGGGAATGACATAATTACACTATAATCACAAACATAGAGATTAAAAATGACTAAATTATTAGTGTGTATCAATTTAAAGATTGACTCTAATTACAGAGAAGAGGGGAAAATAAATAAAAACAGAAAAATGGGCTGGAGGATAGCTTAGTGGGTGAGAGCTTCCTGCCCAGCACCCAAGCCAGGTGGCTTTAACTCCAGTTCCAGGGGATCCAATGCCTCTGGCTAATTCCTAAGCAGTTGCCTTGAGAAGAGAAGTACAGTCAGAGAGAAGCAGCCATCCCCAGGCTTCAACAGAAAATAGCTCTGTACACCACCACGGGACTCCAACAGGAGCTGTGTCTGTTCTCGCTGCCTGCTAACACTTCAGTCTGTTTGCTAGCCAGCACTGGGTGCATTGAGTCAGATTCAAGAGACCACCACAACAACAAGGAGCACAAGTTTTCAGTAAATCTCTCTGTCTGGTCTCTGCAGCAAGAATATTTCAGCTTTAAATGTATCTGGCTTCTTTTAAACTGAAGGCAAATCACTGGTTCTTATGTAAATCAATGTTTCTATCTTGTGGTTTTGCAATTCAATATTCAGAGCATTAACTGCAGTTTCATATTTCCACAGTAATTACTGGTATAGGTCTTGGAGTCAACTAAAACAATAAAGTTAAATGAAAACTCAAATCTATAGTAAGAAAATTCTAAACAGGAAATTAATAAAGAGAATGTGTTTTTATGTTTACTTGATTATCGATGTTACAAACACATGTAGTCTTAGGAGACCTCTTCTTTAAGCTTCTTTTCATTTTGACAGTTTACATACATATGTAAACCTTCATACAGTTTGATCCACCACCATGTGTTCAATGAACACAAATTACTGTGAACATGAACATAGGTTTCAATCCTATAGCATGATTTCCAACTACTTTTAATTTGTAGTACCTTATCTTAGGAACAATGAGTAAAATTATCATATAACAAAAAGATACTTATCAATTTGCTTATATAAGTTACCCTCAAAAAATATGGAAAGGGCCTTTCCTAGCAGAAAGTTCATAAAAGGTACAGAATACATCCTCTTTAAACTACTTTTATTGTTACACACACTAGCATAGTACAAAGGGTCGCTGCCATGTTATTCTACCTGGAATGTTAAATAAATATTCCAAGTACGTAATCCAATTTACATATTCAGACACTAGTCAATATTTCCACATGACATAAAGCCTATGTCATTTTTATGTATTTCCTGACCTGTTGTTTATAAAATAATTAAAAGCATTTTATATAAAATTGACCTAACAACTGATTCAAAGTGTTCTAGGGTAGCAAAGCCATCAGACACTTTTCTTCTTTCAGGAGCTATAGCAGTCTACCTTTCAAACTGCTTTTTAACAGTACTGAGTGTTCCTTCAATAGTGCAGAATGTCACTTAGCCTGGTGAGTATTTTACCTTTATTTTTACAATTATGGCCAATATTTAATTTTAAACACTTACCTATTCCCTACCAAATAGGCATTTAGTTCTTGAACAACTGTGAATAGACACTTTATCCAGAATAGTAATGTCAGATTTTGAACAACTCTACATGTCAAGCAATATGCTAGACATTTTCTCCAGGCATAAGTTTCTACAAAGATGCATTTCCTGTGATATGAGACTATTAATTAGCTAATTGACTCCCACTGAAATTAAGCTATGTTATCAGTCCTCCCTTCTTTCTGTATGTCAATCACAAAAGACTAACGAGAAACTATAAAATCTTGGAACACATGAAAGAGGACGAACTCTTTAAAAACTCCCCAAACTCATGCAATGCCTTGGCCAAGATCCATCAAAGACAGTCCCACTCAAACTGAAGAAGCTGAGTAGCTTGGTGAGATGGGGGCTTAGAACATGGATCCTTTCAGGATGCTGGAACTTCATGAGCCCTCTGGATACTCTCACCGAGAGAAACCTCTTAAAAACAGGGAGTCAGGTACAACATGAAAAACACCACAGGGTGATCATCTAAATTTGCTAGAAAATATATATACAACACAAAAGATGCATCTGATTCACCCTTCTGGATTTCACACTGTAACTTCAATCGTTTAATGTAAGGCTAAATTAAATGAATAATATACTCATTTTACCAGGAAAATGTCCCCAAGTTTCCCACATTTAATGAAATTTTATGTGGATTCATTTTTCGTGCCCCTTTTCTGAAAATACTTATCCTCAAATAAGAGGAACTACTTGTAACACAGTTCTACCTCAAGGCAGAAGATACTCTATTTATCAAGTTACTTAGAGGGGAAACAGAACGGTCTCACTGGCAGCTTCTGGAAGATTCAAACTCAAGAAGTAATAAGAGAACATAGCTTCAAGTCAATTGCAAACTAAATCAAATGTAACTAGCAACCAGATTCTAGCGTCAAGGACTAATTTCAAAGCAGTCATGTAGAGCTGGGAACATGCTTGTGATATTAGGAGTCAAATCTGAGTCATCATTAATAAACCCGGTCTACATAGCAATTTCCATATCAGCCTGGACCACGGTATGATATTATTTATCAGAAACAAAAACAACAGCAAAATATAAAATTGTATTTCCCCATGTGAAAAGAAATCAAGAAATGTCACATTTTCTTTTTGTTTCTTTCCTTTTTAAAATATAACAACCTTCATCATTTGCCCCCAACCATTCCAAATTAATGATTCCTTCTCTTATATTTTATTGGGATTTTCCTCACATTTGCGAGACTACTTCCAAATAAACCCGTCAAGGACTTTCAGCTGAATTACTAAACAAAGCCATGTTATTGATATTCTTTTATCCAAACACTTCAGTGTGAATCTAGAACCTAAACCATAAACCACATAACTGAGCCACCGAAAGCAAGCTGGAATGAGTTCTAGGGAATGAGTCGACAACTCTGATTAATCTCCTGGTGAATTTCTTGTTCGAAGTATATTAAATATTGACATATGAGTTCAGTAAGCCTGGTAGATTACTTGGAGATTCTCAGCTTATGGCTGCCTCTCAATGACTCATTATCAAAATACAGTAGGCACTGTCATTCTCCTGAAAACTAGCAAGACATGACATCTTCTTGGTCATAGTTACTGCATAAGTGCTGAGAAAACCCTAATTTCTTTAATAAACTTACAGCCAAACAGCAGGTAGGAAGCAAAGCACCTTCTAAGAATCAGCTATATTTTTCTTAGTTGCCAATTTGCAAACCTAAACTTTAGCTTATTGTTTTGAGAAAGTGGGCAAATTAAACTGTTCTAACTTATAAGTCGACAAAAAGGGAGCAATAACTTAAGGAAACGTTCACTCTCAACAGCCACAGTCGAGGCTAACCGCCCATAGGCTCGTGTCCTGAGACTTAGTATGACAATGTTGAGATGGTAGAGTCTTTAAGGACAAATGAGTAGGGAATGTAATTAGGTCAGGACACTGACCTCACAAAATATGAAGGAGATCTTATAGGACCAAGTCAGTTCCAATGAGAATGAATTACTAACAGGGAGCCTGGTCCTTCCCCCTGCACCTCTACTTTACAGGTGATTTAACTCCTTTTCATGCATGCCCAACATGTCCTATCATCTACTCTGAAGCTCTCATGGCCCTGAGCAGATACTTCTGATATATTCTTGGATGAAGCATGATTAATAAAAACTCAGAGACAGATATTGGGGTTCAACCTGAAGACCAGAAAAGCAAAGCAGCCAGCCGCTGGCTCTTACCTCAACCTCAGTTCAAAACGGCAATTCTGCCTTAGGAATCTCAAAATGAGAATGAGACGGAGAGCTATTTCCTCCCATTTTATAATACTTGCTAGGGCTGGGACTAAAGGCATGCACTACCCAGTTTCTATGACAAACTAGTGTGACTGTTGAGATTAAAGGTGTGTGTCACCCCTACCTGGTCTACAAAGATGAACAGAGGGGCTAGTTGACTCTTCGATCTTTAGGCAAACTTTATTTATTAAAAATACAAATGAAATGCCACTACACTTGGATGCCCCAGACCATGAGTTAAGTAATCAAGCTTAGGTATTCCTTCAGGCACGTACATTAGCAGCTCAATATTTCCCCAATGGTGACCGGATGATCATCAGGGAAGGACCTCTATCTTCCCATGACCGAATTAATCCAAATAAGATTACAACTGTCTTAGATTGCTATATTGAGTTTTAAATGGAGTGCTAAAAGATTTCTTAAAAATTATTAGAGCCTATTCACTTTAGCTAGGGCTTGATAAGATTTTCAGAAAGTTTGGTGGCTCCCAAATCATTTTCAAGTCTGACACTGTAGCTTTTTTATTGGTGATCTGACCTACACAGTTTCTGTAAAATTAACTTTAATTTGAAAAATCCATGGCTGTTCTAGTTATATTACTACTGTATGATGAAACATCACAACCCAAACCAAGTTGGGGAGGAGAAGGTTTATTCAGCCTACACTTCCACATTGTTGTTGATCATTGAAGGAAGTCAGGACAGGAACTCAAGCAAGGCAGAAACCTGGAGACAGGAGCTGATGCAGAGCCCACTGAGGGGTACTGCTTACTGGCTTGCTCGGGCCTGCTTTCTTATAGAACCCAAGACCACCAGTGGAGGGATGGAACCAACCACATCAGGCTGGGTCCTTCCCTACCAATCTTTACAATGCCCTATCCGCTTCCTGCTTACAACATGATCTTCCGGAGACGTACTCCTCAGTTGAGGTTCCTTCCTCTCAGTGACTACGGCTTGCGTCATGCTGACAGAAAACTAGATAGCACAATGGCTGAGATTCGTATAACCTTAAGTAATTGTGATGTTTAATCTGCATTGTCAACTTGACTGGATTTGAAATCACACCTCTAGCATGTCTGTGAAGACATTTCCAGAAGTTTAACTGAGAACAAAAGACACATCTGGACTGTGGGAGCAGCACCTCCTAGGCTGAGGTCTTGAGCTACATGAAAGGGGCAACAAAACTAAGCACCAGATCATGCTTCTCTGTCTGCTTTCTGAGGACACAATGTGACCGTCACCTTAGTGTCATGCCACTATGGGGTTTAGTCTGGGCTCCTGCGAGTTATTTTTTCCCCCTGGGGCCATACATCAGGCTTCCGTTGTAGATAGTATGGGTGATTTCAAGGGTACAATGAGTGTGAGAGAGCAAGCTTTGAATACTACGAGAGCTCTGCAAATATGATACAGTATTCTGAAGTTTCTGTCAGATTTTATCCTTAAGAATTGCCTATTTTCATAATAGATGAACTCAACTAGTGCCCTCCATGTCATGATGCTCTTGTTTCAAGTTGCTTTCACCAAGCATTTTGTCAAAGCATTAAGTATCTAGTAGAGCAATATAGCAGCCATCACTAGCACCCTTGAAATCACCCACACTATCTACAACGGAAGCCTGATGTATGGCCCCAGGGGAAAAAATAACTCGCAGGAACCCAGACTAAACCCCAAGTCTCCTCAAAAGCTATCCCTTTCTTTCCTTGTTGTTTCATATGATTTGAGAACAAGAAATTTCAACTATTTATGTAAATTCTACCTACACACCATGATAAATGATCATTTATTATCACAAAGTTCTAGATGGGCAAAGGCAGAGGCAGGTGAATCTGAGTTGGAACCATCCGGGTCTACAGAGCAAGTACCAGGATAGTCGGGGCTATATAGAGAAACCCTGTCTCAAAAAAACAAAAACTAATAAACAAAAGCAAAACATTTCTTTGATTGATGGGACAGTGTGACCCTGGATAAGTCAATGAGAAGAATTTCCACCCAAAGTTGGAAATAGTACAAATCCATCCCTTGTGATGGATAGGTACGATTCAGGGCAGGAATGCTATGTCCTTGAGGGGTTCATGAGAGACCTGTAAGAGACTCACAAGGAGCTCATTCTTAGCTTTTACCCCAAGTTTCTAACTACAAAAACCCTACAAGGGACTCTGCCACCCTTGAGTGTCATCGTTCCACCTACAACAGAGCGTCCTAACTGCACAAGAGTCTCAACATTTAGCAGCAACTATACCAACAATCGAGAGTACCTCTTTAAATTACTTCTGTCCTCTCAGGGCAGAGTTAACCCTGGGCTTCTACAGAGTACTCTTAGAAGAGTAACGTACCCTAGTCCCCTTCTATAAAGAATTAATAGCTCAGGCCGGGCGGTGGTGGCGCACACCTTTAATCCCAGCACTCGGGAGGCAGAGGCAGGCGGATCTCTGTGAGTTCGAGACCAGCCTGGTCTACAAGAGCTAGTTCCAGGACAGGCTCCAAAACCACAGAGAAACCCTGTCTCGAAAAACCAAAAAATAAAATAAAATAAAATAAATAAAAAATAAAAAAAAGAATTAATAGCTCACCTCATCATTATTATGGGCTAGAATACATAGCCAGACCCTATCAGAAGTTAGCAAGCAAGCGGCTCAACCTCTCTCTTTCTCTCTCTAAGTTTCAGGCTCCAAAGTCCTGAACTCTCAATTCTATGGCCATATCTCATTTACTGATACCAAAATCTTCTCAAGAAGACAGGGCTCAGCACTCTGTTTGGAACTAGCCAGACTTATCAAATGCTCAGCCTCTGACACAGTTGAGTTCTTGCTGGTTCCCTGCATGCTTAGCAGAACTGATGAAGCTCCACTCACTTTCTCAGCTTCAAGACTCCATTTGTAATATTGTAAAACTCAGGGTTGGCAGCCAGCCTTCTGCAACTATAGCAGATACCTGAAATAAATCAGTGGGTTGAAAAGGGAAAGTTTGTTTCTAGTTTCATATATTCCAAAATTGCAGTCCTTTGCCACCTGGCACCATTGCTTTGGTCTACGGTGAAACTGAACATCACGGTGGAAGTGTGTGTAGAGATGGTTGCTTACCTCACGGAGGAAAGGAAGTAAAAGGGAGAAACAGGAAGACCACAGCACCTCAACGGTCCCTTTAAAGGCACCCTTCCCAGGCCTCACCTGAAAGTACTACCACCACACACTGGGGAACCAGCCTTCAACATGCATTTGGGACATTCAGGTCACAAATTATAGCAACTGACCTAATTGATAGTCCCTCTGCTGCGAGCTACGTGCAAAATAACACAACCCAAGGCTGTGCAAAACAACAACAGTGTTTAAACAAATCCTTTTTCTCTGTAGTAGGCTGAATTTTTTTTAGGCTGCACACTAGAAGGAAATGAAATTACAGCAGCAGATTCCAAGGTTCTGAAAAGAGTCTCTGAAGTTCTTGTTGTAGCGAAAGGCCTTGCAAATTATACAGACAAATCCTGCAAGTTTAAGAGAGTTGGTTTTTCTTCCAGCATTTGACTGACAACAAAGTTGCAAAAGCAAACTTGGCTCCATTTTTCTCAGCCCAGCAGGAAAACCGCCCTGCAGGAACGGAATTATCATCATGAATAAACTGTAAAACACACAGACATTCTCCCTGATTGAAAGAGGCCACATTCATGCTGCAGGAGGGCCATCCTGAACACGCCCAATGGAAGAATACAGACACGGGAGGGGGGGGGGGGAGTGGGGGAAGCTAAGTCAGACCCCAGTTCGCACTTTCAATGATTCATAGCAGGGGGTGACCAAATAGGAGGATTGCCTCAAGTCAATGTTGATGATTTCTTTGCATATCTGGCTGAATATAATTTTAGGTCTAAATAAAAACTAACAAATTGAAGATAAAGTTAGTTAATGACAACTCCCCAAGGATAAAAGTACTCTCTGGGTTTATGTGATTTGTACTTGGCTGTACATTTTCATTGCTGTTTATATTTTTTCATTATCCTAATTGCTTACTTGATCATAGTAAAAAAGAGTTTGCTAGCTCAAAGTTCATATTCATTTAAGTTACGGTCATTTCAAACCAGAATTTTAGCTTATTTTTATAGCAGAAGTGTAGGATTTCATTCCTGTGGAGTAACTGAGACTCAACATCACCAGTCACCATAGCTAGAACATTTCATTCTCAACCAGGATCTTCATTTGCTTTTTTATCTTAAAAAATAAAATAAGTAGAAAAGCATTCTTCAATGACTCATAAAACTCAACTTTCCATTTTGACTGGACAAATAAGACCAAATCATAGAGATTTCCTTTGGTTTAGAAATGAAGAAATCAATGCACAGAGCGATTAGGTAGGCTCAAAATGAAATTCAACATCAAGTCTCCAATTTAGGATTCTAAAAATGATATCACAGCACATACAATCCTTTATTTTCCCAACCATTCAGGTTCTGTACTTGTTGATTAAAACCAGGACAGGAAAAAGGGAACTTGTGCTACCCCCAAATTGTGAAGTGCCAAAGCCTGGAGGCACACAGTATTTATTGGTTCCATCACAAATTCCTCAGGTCAAGATGACCTCCATCTTACACATGTGTGAGAGTAATAAGAAAAGCACTTTCAGGGCGGACTGTGGTCCATGGGCTGCTGGTGTGGTTCCCTCCATTGAAAAGAAGCCCCACATAGGACCCCACAGCTCCACGGAGCTGAGAAGTTGAGCAAAGAACACGCACCTCCCAGCCTTCGATGTGTGACTGCCACTCTTCTAAAGCTTCCAGTTTCTCCATCTGTCTCTTGGCCTCGTTTATGTTGGAACAGACAGCTTTCATGGCTTGGAGGGCTTCCATCAATGCTGCGTAGTCACCATGTTTCCGTGGAGTCCGCTTCAGTAATTCCTGTTTAGACACAGAAAACAAACCACCCTTTGATCTCCAGTTCTGTGGTCCACCAGGTTCAGACTGACCAGGAAATGCAAACTACAAAGACGGTGACAGCCAAGCTGCTAAGTGACATCATCAACTCCACTAAGATAGAGATCAAAGGCAAAAGGTCAAATCAATGAGTAAGCACTATTTAATGCTCATTTTTGTAGTCATTGTGATCTTTCCTCAAACTTAACTGCAGTTTAGAACCGGTGCAAGGTTTCTTCACTCGCTCAAATCACCAAGTATCTCACCTGAACCATATCAAAGTTTTTATAATCTGACTTTTGTTATAACAGAAGCATATCAGTATACATTAATTTCCTTTTCTTAAGAATCTTTACCAGATCTTCACATAAATAAGCACCACAGTTTCAAAACTGAATCAAACTGATATTTCTAATATCTTTTGAAAAACTATAACAATATGCCATGAATATGGCAACATTTGTATATATTTTCTACTCTAGCAAAAAGCACTAATTGATCAGTTCCACACCATCCCACCATTACAGGAGAGGTCTATGTCACCTCCACCAGTTGCTCTTGCTCCTTCTGCTTTTGATATTTGAAATGAAAAGAAAAACATAAATCAAAGTTCTATCCCCAAAGCAGAAACTAAGACTTAAACAAGGACACTTCTTTTCATTTCAAATATCAAAAGCAGAATAATCTGCAATATTTTAAGTATATTCAATGGTCTTCATCGCCGTTCTTTCGACGCACAAAGCTAAACATCTTCACCCACTGTCTAGACAGATGTGACCACACTGTTTTTTAATTAGCCATTTGTTTCTTTATGGCAGTTGTCATCATCAAGGCACTAACACAATTACAGAAACCCTGAGGCAGAATTTTAGATTTTTTTTTTTATTTCTCAACATGCAATGGGAAGGCAGGCAGTTCTTAGCTGTTTCACTGTTGAATACTTTGAAATAAACTTTGACCCTGTGTTTGATATACATCACACTATTCCCAAGATGAAGCTGCAACTTTAATTCTGGACCCCAAATCCATAAGAAGGACATGCAACCTCAGAAGTAAATTCTCAGAAACAAAGACTTTTTAAAATTATACGAAATGTGGACCTCAATCTTCAGGACAGAATGTGGATCCCTGGAATGGTACCCAACACTAATCTCAGGACTTGAGGCATGAGTTGGATGAATGTGAAATAACCAAAAACAATGACTCTACTGGTCACTCACTCTCAGATTCTGAAAGTTCTTCACAACATAATGCAGTGCATTTTAATACTTTTCTCTGAATAAATAAAACCACTCAAAAGAATCCAAGATTAATTTTTCAATATAGGCCTATCTGTATATATAAGTCTTTTTCATTTTTTGTGAATGGAAATTGCCTTCCCAAAGGGCAAGGAGGTCACCTCTGCTTCACGTTTCTCAACTACTCTCTTTCATGTAGATGTATCTATGTATCATAGATATATGGGGATGTATCTATCTATGATGCCTTTAAAAAATAATTAAATTTAAACATGTAAGGTCATCCCTAATAAACCATGAGTGATTAAACACAATCATTTGTTTATGATGTATTCTTAACATTCCCTTCTTGCCCTTACAATAAAGAAAATATCTGGGACCCCAATAGGAGATCAGGGATAAGAGCAACTATGGGTGCATAAGCACACTGAATCCCTTAGCTGGAGATTTGCAGGGATGCTCAGAGCATCAAAACATATAGAACCATGCTAGTATTGATACTGCAAGTTATAGGCTGTGCCAAAACTTTTCAGCTGGAGGTCCCTGCCTTTGCTTCACCATAAGGCTTTTCACAGCTTAGCCAAGCCACTCTAGACCAGTTTTGTAATACAAAATCCTTCTTTAACAAAATGCTAAAACCATTTTTTATAGGCTGCAGAGGTCCATAAAGTGTCTGCCACATAAGCATGAGGACCCAAATTCTGATCCCCAAAGTCTGCGTCAAAATCTGGGTGTGGTTGTCTGCACCTACAACCCTACTGGTAAGGGTAAGAACAGAGACTCCAGAACTCCGGACACTCATTAGTCATCCAGTTTAGCCAAGTTGATAAGTTTTAGGCTCAGTAAAAGAGAGAACTTGCTTCAAAAAAACAAAAGTAGAGAGCAATCAAGGAAAGATACCCTGCAGGCGGATGAGCACCCTGACAGGCAGACAGCTAAGGAAGGAGGCTATAGGTAAACAAGCAGATGGTAAATTTCTGAATTCTCTATCCAGAACAAAGGCTGTGTGCAAAACAGCCCCAACACACACACACACACACACACACACACACACACACACACACACACGAAGCCCCAGACATTCCCAAGGCTGGTCCTGGACATGTCTCAATTCTCATAAAGCTGTGTGCCTAGCAGCTCCCTCTCCTTTGTACACATTGACCACACACAGATAAAGGGAGAGGCCCCTGATCATAACACCAAAACAATGAAAAACTTCAAGTCCTCCCTGGGGTTTGGGTTAATGAATCTCCTCAGCACTTATTGGGTGTCTTCTGTGGGTGTATGTGCTTCTTTTTCTTTTTTAGCAAAGTTTTCTTTCTACCATGTCTGAGATGCTCCCTTCCCAGACAGTAACATTTTTTGAAGACTTGCCTGCAAGTCCCTCAGAGGATCACCTAAATATTAAGGTCAGGATAAACTGAGTCAAGCCATGAAAGCATGGCATGGGGCGACCACTGGGTTTGCTGGCATCCCTTCCCCATCCTGGAACAGGAACACCACCACTGCTACATTTAAGGAATGATGGAAACTGCAGGCTGGTCGTTTTATTTTTCCCACTTCTTTGATAGGGAAGGTTCACTTTCAAATTTAGTTCTTCTGCCTTTGTTTCAGAGAGCAAAAAAATTCTTTCAGACAGCTCTGACTAAAAGTGCCATGGTTTGCACCCACTCCTTGGGTTGAGGCTGCAGATCTCTTACAAGTTAGTCAGGCAGCTGGCTCCAAGGAGACTTTCTGAACTTTACTCCTCATGAGATTGGGTTTTTTATCTTTATCCTAACAACCACAGTTTTCTCTGACTGGGCAGGATCTTGTTAGAGTCTTATCTAGTCTTCTCTGACTGGGTAGAAGCTTGTAAGGGTCTTATCTAGTTTTCTCTGACTATATAGGATCTTGTTGGCATCTCACCTAGTCTTCTCAGACTACATAGGATCTTGTTGGCATCTTATCTAGTCTACTCTAATTTGGTAGGATCTTATTAGGGTCTTAGCTAGTCTCCTCTGACTGGGTGAGATCTTGTTAGGGTCTTAACTTGTCTTCTCTGACTGGGTGGGATCTTGTTAGGGTCTTATCTAGTCTTCTTTGACTACATAGGATCTTGTTGGCATCTTATCGCATCTACTCTAGTTGGGCAGGATCTTGTTAGGGCATTATTTTGCCTGACTTCCAACATTCTTTAGTTAGGGTCTTAGCTCTTCTCCCCTAAGTCAAAAGAAAAGGAACCATTAGCAGTTAGAAACCTATTGGGCTGTTAGGTAATATAGAAGCTATCGGCCACCCTACCAGAGTTTTGACCAGAAGTCAGCTAGTTCCTCTTTCTGTTCTATATCTGAAATAATTGGAGAGGGGGGGCAAATGTAAATTAAAATCTGAGAACTGGATTTGAGGGGCTTAATCTGGAGACAACCTTCATAGAGCATAAAGCATTCTACAAAGATCCTGTCTGGGGGCAACTTAACTGGGGTTCATACTGATCCACCAGTAGCCAAGAAGTGTGATGCTGTCTCTGTGATACTTTCTGACACCTCTCACATTAAGGAGGATACCACATCAGTGAACTTTGGCTCAAACTCTAACCCAGGGAGAAATGATGTGGAAGAGGGAAAGTTATTAGGAGAAAACCCTTCACCCAAAAAAACCCAAGTAGTAAGTGAAAAGCCTCCAAGGATCTTTCCTGATCTCTGGGAAGACCAAGACCCACAGAAATTTGCATATGCTCACCACCATTATCCCAAAGAGAAACAATATCTTTATACTCTCTCAACACCCAAAGGGCTGTTTCCTCTCACGTTGAGTTATGTTCATCCAGGCCTCCTTTACTTTGGCAAAACTGAATGACTGTGATGTTCTATGGAGGATCCACACAAGGGTGGATATATATATATATTGAACTAACCCAGATATCTGAAGAATGGAGCGAAGAAGTGATGATATCATTTAGTACAAGCACTACTCTTCTGGAGAAGAGTGTTAGGGAAGCTCTTGGAGCAGGAAGGATAAAATTGGACATGGGCTTTCCAATGGGGTATGAGGATAGACCCTCTCAAAAGGCCTTCTGAAATCCCAATGACCAGATGAAGAATGGAAAGGACATTTGTTCTGCTGTGTTATAGAGGGTCTTAAGAAGGCTAAAGTCAAAACTCCTTCTTAGTGCCCGTTATACACTACAGGAAGACATGTACCCTGAATCACCTGAGAATGCATTCCTAAAAGCCATGCTCTTAACTCATACAGCTCAGACACTCATAAAAAGCTCCAGACACTAGTAGCTGTCCCAGACAAAACAATAGCAAGCTTTTTTAATTTGTCCAGGTCACAAACTCAGTCTTTTTATAACAGAACCATGAAAAGAAAGAAAAAAGGACCAGCACCATGGGCAGTTAGTGGTCACAAGAGCCAACCAGATAAATGCTCTCCCTCCCCACCCCCATACAGTATAAGCCTAAGGCTTGCTTCCTCTGTGTGCAAGAAGGTCACTTCCTGTTGGAAATGCCCTCAGAGGCTCCTTGAACCCTGATTCATCTGTAAAGGAAATCACTGGCAGCACCAATGCCTTCCAGCCCAGCTGGGCTTCATTCCTTTCCATAATGATAGGTCTGGTGGTGAAGGGGCTTCCTATACTGGCTCCTTTCATGTTCAGATAATCTTGAAGAGCCCTGTGAATTTGGGACTGCAAGAAGCATAAGATTAGATTCATGACTGACTGAGGAGTGTGATTATTAGCATTGACCCTGCACCCTGTTTCCT